TGTGGCTCTTGCTATGTGTTGGTTCAGCCGAATTAATTATTATATAATCAAGTTTATTTTTCTCATTAGTTGTCATCCGGCCAAACATTAAGCAACTTATATTGCAGCACCATTTACCATTTAGTATATCAAAATATGTCATTGTAATTTTGCATGGCTGAAATGTAACGCTTGATTTATATATATAATGATTAATTGAATTTTCAAATAAAAAAAAAAAATAAAATAAAATACTGTTTGCTAATCAATATCAGAGTAGGTTCGCTTATATAAGTGTTTCTCAACAAAACTCTTGTCCAAAATACAATTAAAATTAGAGAAAATTTACACATTGACAACATTTAACAAATGTACTATTGCAAATGACAAAAGCGTAGTAAGGTAACTGGTAACAAGTCTGCTGGTTATTGAGAATTTAACATTAAAATATCTCCCGGCCCTTTGAATCATCCGCCTAATGATCAACCGAATGATTGCAACAAACAAAGGAACAAGCAAAATTTGTTAAATGGAGTGCATGATCAAAGAAGGTATATTAGCTCTCTACAAAAATCAAATCCAATGAGAAAATATTGTTTACCGATATTACAATCACAATGCACGGACCTAACTAAATATGACTGACACGTCCCGCGCGGCATCAGAAATATGGGAGGAAATCTGGCACCACGATTTGTGGTGCCAGTTTGTGGCTGTCTATAGAGCCCTCTTTTGCCGCCTTCGGCGGTCGCGCGCTACTGCAAGCGAGAGGGCTCTGGTCAGAGCAAGGCTGAGCGCGGCCCAGTAAAGTCCTCCAAGGTTTTTCAAACGTTTCGATAGGTTAATTCAATGGAAAATCTTAGATATTTTGGTTTCTGATACATTTTGATACGCCGCACCAGCTTATACAAATATAATAAGCACATCTAAGAGTTAACCCGGGCAAAATTTAAAAAACCTCCCAAAAAAATGTTTTTTTGCGCGCTAAATTGTTTTGGCACTTTATACATCCACAATGAAATATTTTGGCCCAAAAAGTGTTTAAATACTGTTCAATAATACTATTTGATAGTTTATCAGCGTCAAAAATGTTTTGAAAGCGGAAGAAAAAAAATTGTTTTTTCGCAGTGCTGAGAACTTTGAAAATTTCTGAGAAAAATCGAGCGCTACCGTAAAATTTCAGTCACACTTCCCTGCAACTCATTAAAGTTTTTGTATGGTTGTTGTATTGTCCTTTTCAGAAGTTCATGCCTTCTCTGGCTTAATTTCATTTAATATTGTTTAACACAGTGCAATACATTGTTGTTCAATATGTATTGATTCTTCTGTGGAAAATAAAAATTGTATTTTACTTAAAATTGTATTTTACTTATTATAGTATAGTGCCATTTCTATTGCATATTGCTTCAATGTTATATAAGTAGACATCCGATAATAAACTTGTTAGGTCCAGTACATATCAGTATGGGGTGGCCTTAGTAACAACAGGCTTGAACCAATATTTATCACTCAGAAGAAATGTGTTAGAATACTATTTGGTAACCGAGAGGCGTACTTAGAAAAGTTTAGAACTTGTGCTAGAACACGAAGTAAAGACAAGCAAAAATTAGGAAGCGACTTCTATGAAAAACAGCACACAAAACCGCTATTCAAGAAAAATGGTTTACTAACCATACACAGTTTGTTCAAACACACATGTTTATTGGAAATGTTCAAAATCAATAAATTAGAATCCCCAGTCCCACTCCTAAATCTATTTAACAGATCATCAAGACGTGCTGATCGATTCATCACTCCAACCCCATCCACCTCCTTCATATATCAATCGACAAAAATGTGGAACGATTGTAGAAACACTGCTAGCAATATCAACTTCTCTACATCAACGAACCTTGTGAAATCCACAATAAAAAAGGAGTTACTCGGCATGCAGTCCAGGTACGACGAAATAGATTGGTGTGAACTGAACTTCGATTCCAACGAACTGAAATTCTAATGTCTACTCAATGAAGATATGCTGAGCGCTAAAGCCGATTGAAATGTTAATGTCTAAAGTATAAAATTTCGGCGGTCACGCCGCGCATTTTGCGCGCTGTGCCGCTATTTTTGGCCCATCTTATCAGATATTATTTACAATGTACTCGCACAGTACATGCAGGGCATGCCTCAAGATCATATTAGTGTAGGAATCATTATGTTTTCAACAATTCATTATATGTCGAATTCAGCAGTGGGTCCTCTCTTCGTCCGGTTTGTGTGTTTGTCGCCTGTCTGGACTCTCGTAGTCATGTAATTTTTAATTTTTAATTTCTAATTTGTTATTTTAATTTTAATTTTAATTTTTCAATTTTCTAAATGTGTGTTCTGCTCCGGGACTCGATTACCGTATCGGCTTTCTTGAGACTGTAAATTTGGAAAGCCAACTATGCGGGGCGCCTGCCCACCGGCACTGAAGAGTGATCAAAGAATTAACTAAAATTTCCTAATATAACGATTGAATATAGAGTTGTTTAACCGGCGCGGCCATGGGTGTGTGGCCTAGCTTTGGCTGCACACCTATGACTGCGCTGTTGCTGGTGGACAGGCGCAGTTTTTGTTGTGCAGTAGTGTTGCAAGAGAATAAAACCAACTTATTATGTACTAAATGGAATCAAGAATATTATTGACTATATTTGATAACGATGAATTGTAAATTTCGATCAATTTATATTTTTCGGTCTCCAATTATTGAACTGCGGAAGCTGGTTGCCTCAACAATGTTGACTATGCATGGTATGACTGAATTGTAAAAACGTGATAATTGAACGAAAAATAAATGATGAACATGATTCAAAAACTGTAAACCACCAAATGAATTATCGCTTAAATTTAAATAAGTATTTAAACAAAAACCACCATGTGCCGTTAAGCAGCAGGGCGCGGCTCATCTGGGCCACAGCAAATCGGCGAAAATGGGTTCGAAAAAGCCACTATTGGCACTCGAGTCCTTGATCTTTCCGATGGTTCACTGGGGCTTTTGAGCTGCCGTCCTTCAGCTTCTGTAAACTGAAATTACTACCAATCCAAGTTGAAGCAATCAGCCGACGCGCGGCTTTTATGGTTATATATGATATGTTTAATCTGTAATAAAGATCAAAATTCAAATTTGTTTCTCTAAAAATTTGTTTCTCTACAACCCAAGATGTCGGCCGACTAACAAAATAAAGAAAGCTAGCATGGTCATAGTTTCTCAAACGAGCATACTTACCCATCGTAAGTTACTGGCTAGTGGTGGTACTAGAGTTCAGAGTTGGTTTAATTTAAACAGACGGCTTGACCTCGTGTGTGACATTAATCATGATTTGCACGCGTGGCGCATTCCAATGTTCAAGCAGCTAGCACGTGACACAATTCAGCCAATCAGGGTAAAGGAATCCGCAAAGTTAAAGTTGCAAACTTTTGATCGGCCCAAAATGGGACTTTTCTGGAGATTTTGAGATAACTCAACAACTACGTTGTTTTAAATTTTCCTCCTGGGGAGGTAACGTTACTTTTACAAGACGAACATGTTACAAAAAACCGGAAGTCTCTAACTCTTTTATACTTTCAAAGTTAGGCCCCATCCAGTAAGGGTTTCTGGACTCTAGTACCACCGCCAGCCAGTAACTTTTGCTGGGTGTTTAAGTTGACAATTTTACCTAACAAGTAACTATGTGTCTTTGTGCGTGCGCGCGTACCGAGTTGTTTCAAATATCAGATATAAAAATATCAAGGCGGCCGCGCGGCCGTCGACGTCTGACGATCAGTCCAACTCGGCGCGCGTCTTGGTAGGTTATAAATGATAAACCTATTTTATAATATATACTGGGCAGTACTCAGTTGACATAGGTTACATGCCACTTTTCGGAAGGCGGAAAAAGTAAAAATAGCATAATATCTCTGATGTTTGTGATACGCAACATGTATCAATTAGTGCAGTGCTCAGCCTGTCCATGTCATGCACCGAGCCGGGCCGGGATTAATGATTATATTAAAAAGTAGAAAATTGCAATCATATGCTGCTCAATTTCTTACCTGGGGACCTCAGGCTATCATGTTCATAAAACAACGAATAGAGATTAGGCGGAATGACAGGCTGAGCGCGGCCGGGCCCAGTAACTCAATTCCATGTATGAGCGTATTTAATTTTAATTATGTGTATGCCGGGAGGCCTTATTTTGAATTGAGTTTATTCTCTATTTATAAAATTTATAAACATTATTAGTGTAACACGGGGCTTTTACTAATTTGCTCGCCCAAAAATTTCACGTGACTTTGGTTTTTATGGTTTTGCAGCCGTATAAAACGGTTTTACATAAACCCTAATCCCAACCCTAACCCTAACCATAACCCCATAGTTATCCATAACCCTTTCACAACCCTAACCCTAACCTGAGTCTTAAACAATCGGATTCATGTTTTACTAGTATGTTTTACAAGAATTTTCTTAAAATTTGGGCGAGCGATTTAGTAGGAGCAGTAACACGGCCTTTGGCCGGGATTTCACTGCGGCAGTTATAAAAAAGGTAGGAGAATTTACCCGCTGAGTCAAAACCCGCATTAGGTGAGCAATTCTATTCGGAGTGCCCTCACGTATCCAATATTATCTTAAACAATAATCTCATAATCAGTTCTTTCTCGTGGATAATTAAGTCATTATTAGGCACCACATTCCTTGATCATAATTCTGATCGTGTCAGAAAATTATACATAAATTTCAGCGATTATAGGTATAGGTCAAACTTATATTCCCTGTCAGTTTTGAAAAAATTTCACCGACTACAGTGAAAGCAGCATCCCATTGTATGACATGATATTATGTTAGTTGTCTTAAAATGTTAAATTGTCTCAAAATGTTAAGTTGTCTTAAATGTTAAGTTGTCTTAAATTTTAAGTTGTCTTAAATGTTAAGTTGACTTAAATGTTTAAAGTCGGATGTGACTCAAATTTATCATACAATAATGTTATTAAATCCACTAATTCATTTCTTACTTCTTAGGTAATACGATTTATCTCTGTTTAGCTGAGTATGTCATGTCTTAATTCTGCTTTTTTAATGGGCTGCCTCATTTTATTCGCCTTTGGAACAACTAACAAAGAACCGAATGCAAGATGGCCGGAGGTATCCAAAATATCATCTTTCTGTCCTGGAATGAGTCAATGGTGTCGAGAGATGTGCTGTAAATGCGTAAGTAAATGTATCTACATAATTTTAAACCACATAAAGCAACTTCAAACTTTTCTTTTCATCATCTGCATTCTGCTTTCATAGTTTCAACAATATTGAGTTCTAAATATAATGAATGAAATACCTGACATCCGCACTCCTATAACTCAAAAGCATAAGTAACTTGTAATTTAGTATGATATATGATTCTTAAAAACTTCAAATTAAATTTGGCGCTCCCACGTCCTCGTGATCATGTGATCACCGTGTGAGGTTTTGTAAATGTGCGGCGCACCTTCAAAGCTTCAAGCTTAAATTATTCACCTTACTGAGGCAGCCAACCAACACACGGCTTTATTTCTATGATATGTTTTGATTGTTATTAATAAATACCAAAATTTAAAACTTGTTTTTCTTTTTCAAATAAGTACAGGGTGGCCCAAAAGTAACTACCCACACGCAACCCTTTAATAACTCACGTAATTGGTATAAGTTTTGAGTTAGGAATTCCAAAATTTCCAGACATGTTGTAAACCGGTCTTAGTAAACTAACTAGTATAACTATACGTGGTCTACATGGCGAGATAGTGGGCGTTCCTAACTATGTCAATCTACACTCACTAGTATCAAACGATCGGGAAGTATGTCCCGATATCAAGAACAGAAAAGGAGAGAAGTGTGTCTCTACAATTTGGTTGTATCAGAAGCGTGTATGATACAACAGTAAGGAGTGTGCCTTACTAAACTTCAACAACAAATACGTTTACATAACTCGGCTTAGACTTAGTTGTAAACAACCAACTTGAAATTTTGGGAAAGCACTTCAGTTGTCAAACCACGTGTGTCTGGAAATTTTGGAGTTCCTAACTCAAAACTTTCTCACTTTATGGTGAAAAAAGAGAAAAAGAGGGAGTGGTGTGCCACACCCTCTGTAATTGATGAAATTTTACGAAAATTTCAGGAAATATAAGTTTGACCCATATCTATAATATTCTCTGAATATTATAGATATTCTGAATTAAGGGTTGCGTGTGGGTAGTTACTTTTGGGTCACCCTGTATATAAATTATATGAATATTTTACTTGTTATAATCGATCACTCTCAATTTAAATTTCAGGATGCTTATGGTGGATACATGTGCTGTCCTTACAAAGATGGAACTTGCTGTGATGGCTCACGCCATTGCTGCGCAAAACATGAGACGTGCACTAAATTGGGGGTAGGAATAAATATTGAGTTATATTTTTTCCTTAAACAATAATACCAATATCTTGTACCGTTTTCTTATTTATTTGAGATCAAACTGTTAAATGTTACATAAGACATCAAATTAAGATCTCTAGCAAGTTTATTTAAAAATATTCACATTCTGTTAACACTATTATCAAATATTTTGCAGTGTCATCATGAAGAAACTGGCCACACATTAAGCAAACCGCTGTCTCATCCACTTCTATGATAGATTATGGGTTTTATCTGAATATTTAAAACCTGTGTACTGTGTAGTTAATCCTCCTTGAAAATATAGATATGATATTGCATATTATAGTTGGGTGAACCTTCAGAATTTCATGCATGATACCAATAGTGGTAAAGAATGTATTATTTAGAATTGGTAGCAAAATTAAGATACCTATTATGCATGTTAAATTTAAGATTATATTAAAATGTCATGGTGACATAATGATGCTGAGAGGTTGGTATTTAATGTAGATTTTTATCAGATGGAAATACCTAGAACTTCTCCAGATTTATGGTGATACTTTTATTAAGTTTTTTTTTTCAGAATTTTAATGCCAGCCTAGGGCTTATATAACGAAACTCATAATACATTTTTTGTACTTTTTACAGATTTTTAATAAGAATTTATAAATTTTTTTGTATATTTTTGTTCATATGTTGTGTGATTGTTTACATTGTACAATATAATGTTGAAGTCTGAACAGGAATTTTAAATTTTATTCATTCACCATGATTTTGGTTTAATAATGGGATTAACTTAATAAAGGTCCAGTTACTATGGTAACTAATTAATTGAGTTATCAAATGATGGAGTAGTTCGCTGTTTATTAGTCTCATGATTGAAATACTGATAGTTGGATAATATCCGGTTGAGAGACAAGTTGATCCCATCAACCGGATATTATCCAACTATCAATGGGATTAACTTAATAAAGGTGGTTACTATGGTAACTAATTAATAGAGTTGTTAAACGCTTAGAATTGTAGTCACGTGATACTACTTTACAGGATTTAATTTAAGGGGGGGGGGGGGGGGTTCACCCTGATTTTTTTGTGAAACTTGGTTTCGAGATAGCAGTTGACCAACAAACTAGGACCGGTGACCAAACTTTTTAGGGGGTCCCGGACCCCAACCGCCAAACGGTGCCCGCGGGGCAGCCACGCCCATATTTGGTCCAAATTAGGCCCAATTTAGCCAAATACCCTCAACATGCCCAAAACCCAGATTTTAGGTGCTTTACTTGTAGCTAGTGCTCCCCTGAACTCGTATATGAATTTTCATCAAGATTGGACAAAAAATGACTGAGTAATGAGCCAAAAACCATATGCCCATATTGGGTATACGCACCAAATTTGGTCGATTTCGGCCCATAAATTGGTCAAATATCAATATTTTTGAATAAAACCAACTTTATATGGAAGGTAAGCCTATACTACACATTATCTATGATTATCAGCTCAGTATCTACCTAACTGTGGATTCTGTGTTCAATTAATTAATTTGCCGGGCATTTTTCAGAATTTGGCCGCCAAATTTTAAAAAAAGGCCTAACTCAAAATTCCATATTAAAACTTAAGGTCGAAATGCGATTCTACGTTGATTCTGAAAATTTCATGTAAAAATATTGAAACCCTATTGAGTTCTATTGTTTTGAACGAAATCCGTTTCGCAAATATCGCGAACTGAGATATGGGCGATATTGTTCATTTTTTGCGATTAATTGAACACAGAATCCACAGTTAGGTAGATACTGAGCTGATAATCATAGATAATGTGTAGTATAGGCTTACCTTCCATATAAAGTTGGTTTTATTCAAAAATATTGATATTTGACCAATTTATGGGCCGAAATCGACCAAATTTGGTGCGTATACCCAAATATGGGCATATGGTTTTTGGCTCATAACTCAGTCATTTTTTGTCCAATCTTGATGAAAATTCATATACGAGTTCAGGGGACCACTAGCTACAAGTAAAGCACCTAAAATCTGGGTTTTGGGCATGTTGAGGGTATTTGGCTAAATTAGTTCGATGACATGTAATTTGCGTGCCCTTCGGGGATTAATATTGATTATTACAATTATTATATATTTTGAGTAAACATTGACTGGTGTAAAAGCCAGCCCCAAACAACAATTGGGCCTAATTTGGACCAAATATGGGCGTGGCTGCCCCGCGGGCACCGTTTGGCGGTTGGGGTCCGGGACCCCCTCAAAAGTTTGGTCACCGGTCCTAGTTTGTTGGTCAACTGCTATCTCGAAACCAAGTTTCACAAAAAAATCAGGGTGAACCCCCCCCCCCCCCCCCCCCCTTAAGTTGCTTGTTTTATTTCGGCCCTGAATGAATCTGTTAATTTAGAATTTTAAGGGACTACTAGTATTTTATATATTGTATTTGTATCACTTCTGCACATTTAGGCAGTTGCTCTTGACTCTTGTGACCCGAGTTTTAGATATTATATATTCGGCAGTTGCTCTTGACTTTTGTGACCCGAGTTTTAGATATTATATATTCGGCCCTATTATTATAGTCAGTGACTAGAGGCCATTACTGAAATGATGTATAAATTTTAAAAATATATATTTTATAACCTACACAAATATGTTCGACAATGGTTATTTATGGTTTTTAAAGTTGACACCCTTATATTATTAATAACTAAATTTATGGTTAATTTTCAATATTAAGAATAAAAATGTCAACTAAAAATAAAGATCCCTCAATTGTCTGAATACAAACCACAATTAATATTATAGGAAGAGTAGCAAGCTATATACAAAGGTTTCGCTGATCATGACAGGTCTGAACCCTGCCCTGCTCATGGGTTGCCTCATTGTGTACTCTTTTGGAACACCTATCAAAGTGTCGAATGAAAGGTCAGAGGTATCCAACGTATCATCAATCTGTCCTGGCATGCAAGTAATGTGTCATCATGACCAAAAGTGCTGTCGTCAAAGAGTAAGTTAATTATTTGGTATTATTCTTTTGGGGAATTTCTTCTTTTGCTGTCAGATGAGAATACAAGTACAGTGAAACCTCTATAATATGATACCTTAAATAATGAAATATTGACACAGGACTCCTACGGTGGATACGCATGTTGCCCTCATGTAAATGGAGTTTGCTGTGGTGACTACTCAAAACACTGCTGCCCGCATGATCACACATGCACTCAATACGGGGTTAGGATTACAACTATCATAGCTTTACCATTATCATATTCAACTGGAGAATTAAATCATGATTTGAGACATACAATTTTAATATTTTTCCGACCTAGATTATATACCTTTTATTTTGCTTAGACTATAATACATTTTTGAATTTTCACCCCCAAATATTTTGCAGTGTCATCATGAAGAAAATGGTAACACCTTAAGTAATCCCCTGTCTCATCCATTTGTACAGCAGATTATGAATTTAGTTCCTGCTGAACCGGTAAGACTTCTTCAACAATTTAAATATATTTCTATAAATGTTATATTACTAGTGTAACCGGTGCCCACGGCCGGGACTTCACTATCGCAAATGCAAAAGTATAAACCCCCTATTATAATATTCGGAAACACGCATTACATTTTCGTAGTTAAAACGGTGAGAAAGTATGAACTCGCCAAACAGCCCGCAATTTAATTCTGAGTGCCCCTCGGCCCTCATGTATCTAATAGTAAGATAGTAATATTTGATAGGCAATCTTGAGGTACACTGCCAAATTACCTAATTATATAGCAAATCTGTTGTGTGGGGGAGAGAGAGCGAGAGTGGGAGAGAACGTGAGACACTGTAGTATCACATTTGGGTCACAAAGTGATCAATTAAACCGCTTACCACCGACCGATTTAAAAAACCTTGATCATTTGGTTTCGTCAGAGTTTTGTCGGCACTATACAAGTCCCATATCTCTTACCGTTTTCTTGGTTAAACCGTTCGTAAATTACAAACAGACGCACATACACATTACACACAGACACACACATTTATTGGGATTATTAGCATAGATATACTGTTAGTTGGCTCAGAAATACATGCTTAAAATTGAATATTGATAAGAACCTCTAGATTGCATATTATGCAGGCTGTCTATTTAGGGTATTTTAATTCATGTCGAGATGTTGGTCGTGATAAGATAATTAACAGTACAAGCACGTTATTTGATACCAATTTATAAATTAAATCAATTAATTAATAGTAATGATTAAATCAATTATAAATTACACCGAAGTGTACCATTGTACTTTCGATGTGTATGTTTGGATTGTTAATAACGTTTAATTCTTTGCAGGATAGGCCAATAATTATTGCTGCACCACAGCAAAAGAAATTAGATCTCATTAAGAAGCTATCTGAAGATCATCCTATTAAGGGGTGGAGCATTATGCACTGGCAACAAGCCTTGTCCAATTATTGACAATGATGGTGAGATTTCACTTTAAAATTATAACTCTAATATCGTAGATTCAGTAATAATAATAAAGTAATGAACGTACGTATAAGTCTTCATGAGATTGATAATTTTTGATCAAAAAAATGAGTGATATTAAGTTCATTACATGATTTGCTATAATATATTAGATATTAAGCAAGCAAATCAATTTTCCAGGCAATACAGTTGCGTATACGTGTTGTCCATACTCCGAAAAGGGCAACATGTTGTGAATCTTGGTGTTGTGACGAAGGATTCCAATGTGGACCTCCCCAAAATCAGACGTGCATCCCTGTCAAAGAAGGAGCCGCAGCAATATCTGCTGCAGCGCCCCAGAAAGAAACACCACCACATTACAGTGCTACACTGTACACATGCCCTCCTGGATTAAACAATACTTGTACTGACGATCAGACCTGTTGTGTGACACCCGAAAAGCATTTCAGTTGTGCTCCTTTTGCTAATGCCACATGCTGTCTTGATGGTGTCCATTCTTGCCCTCAGGGATACAAATGTGATAAAGATACTAACGTTTGTAGTCCTGACAATTCAACGGTGCATGGCCTGGAAAGTAAAAACGATGGGAATTTAATTGACTGTGACTCAATGATGCAATGCTCTGACAACCAAACATGCTGCAGTTTGACTGATGGCACTTTTGGCTGTTGTCCGTTTAAAAATGCCACTTGTTGTTCGGATCACATTCATTGCTGCCCAGGAAATTTAGAATGTGATCACAAATCACACACCTGTAAAAGTCCTAAAAGTGACAGCAGCAACATTTCCTTTGAAAAAATTTCCACAGTAAGCCCTGCTGACGTGGAGTGTAAAGACGGATCTAAATGTCCAGATGGTATGACTTGTTGCTCGATAGGCAAAGAACAGTTTGGATGCTGTCCTTTTCAAGAGGCCACCTGCTGCAGTGACATGGTGCATTGTTGCCCTAAAAGTACTGTTTGTAACACGGAAAGAGGAACATGTGATCCCTCTGGAGTAGAACAAATTATCAGCAAAACTGAGAAGCTGCAGGCTTCAACAGACCGGCTTGATATTGCAAACATAGTGTGTGACGGAGAGATGGAATGCAGTAATAACCAAACTTGCTGCAGGCTAACTGATGGCTCGTTCGGCTGCTGTCCGTTTCCAATAGCTGTTTGTTGCTCCGATCATGTGCACTGCTGTCCTCACGAAATGTGGTGTGATCACAAGACTAAAAGATGCAAAAACCCTGGGAACTCTATTCCAATGGGAAAGAAACTACCAGCATATCCAAAGACTTCTCAGCCAGCCAGTTCAGTGCCTCTTGGATTGAAAGTACCAGCCACGAAACCAAGTTCATTTATCGACACAATCCTGAAACCAAGTTCATTTATCGACACAATCCTGAAACCAAAGTCTATACCGCTTGGTGTAAAGTTCCCTGCTACTAAGAAAGCTGCTGGTGCAACGAACTCCATACCCTTAGCAGTGAAGATTCCTGCCAAGATGACTTCTTTAGTAAAAGTTAGCGATTTAAGTGAAGTTTTGAAACCTGCCAAAACATCACACATACCATCAAGAAGTGTTAAATGTGATGATGGTTCATCGTGTCCTACTGGTACAACGTGTTGTAAGCTATCTTCTGGAGACTGGGGTTGTTGTCCTTATCCTAAAGCTGTGTGTTGTGACGATGGAGAGCACTGCTGTCCTCAAGGTTTGAACAATGAATTTTGTATTAACCATTCTGAAGAAACTGAGATGAATTAAGGAAACTTACAGTAAATATAACAACAGTTTCAATCTCGAATTACTTTAATACTTTATGTTAATTTTCCTTTTCACAGGTTACACATGTGACGTGAGTGGAGGAACATGTGACAGAGGTAACACACAATCTGAACTAACTGAACTAACTGAACCAACAATTAGGTGTGATGATGGTTCCATTTGTCCTAGTGGTAGCACATGCTGTAAGAAGCATCTGGAGGTTGGGCTTGTTGTCCTCTACCCATGCTGTCTGCTGTACTGATATGGTTCACTGCTGTCCTAATGGTTTGTTTACATTATGTTATTTTAGCTCATAAAATATCATGATTCTACTCGGATATATAGGGTATAAAGTATTTGAAGTTTCTATAAAACCAACTTTCCTCACTCTTTTACTGCTATCAAAGCATGACAATATGCATTTTTCAAAATGTTTAAAGTTTGATTGAATAGTATGTACTGAACCAGATGAATTTCAATCTATTTCAGTCGCTTGTTCATTTATTAAGGCCATTTTGATCGTAATATCCCCAGTCCCAATTACAATGAAACTTCTAAAAAATTCAAAATCAAAAAACTTAAACCAAGATTAAAAAACGTTTTTTCAGGATACATTTGTGATTTGACTATTGGAAGTTGTAACAAAGCCAGAGGAATTGAGAATCTACTAACTGAGATGTCAGTTGGAAGTGTTAGTTGTGATGATGGTTCATCGTGTCCTACTGGTACAACGTGTTGTAAGCTATCTTCTGGAGACTGGGGTTGTTGTCCTTATCCTAAAGCTGTGTGTTGTGACGATGGAGAGCACTGCTGTCCTCAAGGTTTGTCTCTTTACAAAAATTTAAAATGATGATCCTTCGAAAAATGTCTTACGAAATTGTGGTTAATGGAATGGGTCGAAGAATGAAGCATTTTGAATTCCGACTTAAAATTAAGAGGCAGGATATTATTTTCATTATTTTTAATTTCATTTTGTCTCTTTTTAATAGTAGATTCTTTCTTACAGGTTACACATGTGACGTAAGTGCAGGAACATGTGACAGAGGTAACACACAATCTGAACTAACTGAGTTGTCAGTTGGAAGTGTTAGTTGTGATGATGGTTCATCGTGTCCTACTGGTACAACGTGTTGTAAGCTATCTTCTGGAGACTGGGGTTGTTGTCCTTATCCTAAAGCTGTGTGTTGTGACGATGGAGAGCACTGCTGTCCTCAAGGTTTGTCTCCAATTAAAAGAATTTTAAACGATGATCCTTCGGAAAAGTTTTACTAAACGCAATGAATAGGTTATGAGTTGAAGCATTTAAATTCCGACTTAAGATTAAGAGGCAGGAAATTATTATTATTGTTTAATTGTCTCTTTTTAATTTTAGTTTCTCTCTCCCAGGTTACACATGTGACGTGAGTGCAGGAACATGTGACAGAGGTAACACACAATCTGAACTAACTGAGTTGTCAGTTGGAAGTGTTAGTTGTGATGATGGTACATCGTGTCTACTGGTACAAACGTGTTGTAAGCTTTCTTCTGGAGACTGGGGTTGTTGTTCCTTATCCTGAAGCTGGTGTGTCTGTGACGATGGAGAGCACTGCTGTCCTCAAGGTTCTGCCTCTTTAAAAAGAACTTAAAATCGGTGGTTGCAAAGTGGCGTCCAATCAGAACTTCTGATGAAACAAATAAGCAAGTGATCTAAATCCTTCGAAAATGTTTTACAAAATTAATTGGAAGATGGGTCAAGAATCGAAGCATTTTGAATCCCAACTTAAGATAAAGAGGCAGGACATTGAAATGAATAAATAATAAATGGTGGGGGGGGGGGGGGGGGGGGGGAGGGTTGTCACGTCGTCTATGTCCGCTTGTCTCATAGAATCCAAAAAGGACAGGACATAGGGGACATAGGGGGACATAGGCGGGGAATTTGACGGACATAGGCGGGGCAAGGCGACCTTTGACCCCCCGGGAAAAGGGGAATAGGCGGACATTGGCGGGGGAAATTTAAGGGGCACCTTAAAATTCTAAAAAAAAAGTTCAATTTTGTGTTTAGGGGGGGGAATTGTTTTTTTGTCCCTTTCCCGGGACCCTATTTTTCAAAAGGACAAAAAAAAAGAGCAGACAAAAAGGACAAAAAACGACGAAAAAAGGAAAAAAAATGGGGAAAAAAAATTAGATGCTTCCCCCTCCTACCTTCTCCCCCCCCTGGGTTTTTTCTTTTTCCCCGGGTCCCCTTTTCCCCCCCTCCCCCGTCCCTCCCACCCCCTCCTCTTCCCCGTCCCCCTCATCGTCCTCAACAGTCCTCCCCCTCCCCAGTCCTCCTCCTTTCCCCCTGGGGCCTCCCCCTCTTCATCCCCCTTTCCCCTTTTTCCTCAGTCCCAGTCCCCCTAGTTCCTCCTCATCCTTTTCCTCAGCCCCCCATCCTCCTCTCAGTTCCCCCCCAGGGGCCCCTCCTCCTCCTCCATTCAGTCCCCCTCCTTTCAGTCCTCCCCGTTTTCCTCCTCCTTTCCCGAGGTTTCCTCCTCCTCCTCCTCCTTTTCCCTTTAGTCATTCCCCCTCAGCCATCTCCTCAGTCCTCTAAATCCTTTCCCCAGTCCCAATTTACTCCCCGTCCTCCCCCAGTCCTATCCTCAGGCCACTCCTCCCGGGTCCCCCTCCTTTTTCATCCTTCCCTCCTTTTTTTCCCTCGGTCCCCGTCCTCCCCCTCCTGGGTCTCCTCCCCCCTTTCATTTAGTCCCCCTCCTCCCCGTCCTCTCCAGTCCCCCTCCTTCTCCTCCCCCTTTTTCCGTCCTCCCCCTCCCCCCTCCTTTTCAGTTTCCCCCAGTCCTCCTTCTCTTTCTCCTAAGTCCTCCTCCTGAACCCCCCCCCCGGGTGGGTCCTCCTCTTTTTCCCTTTTGAGTCCTCCTCCTGGGTTCCCCCTCCTTTAAGTCCTCCCCCTGAGTCCTCCCTCTTTCTAAATCCTCTCCCGAGTCCTCCTCCTGAGTTCCCCCTCCCGAGGCCCCTTTCCTCCCCCCGTCATCCTCCTCATTTATCCCCCTCAAACCCTTCCCCCAAAAATTTCCCCCTCCCGCCATCCCCCTCAGTACTCCTCAGTCCTCCCCCTCAGTCCCCCTCAGTTCTCCTCCCCCTGGGTCCTTCCTCCTCCTCCCCCTTGGGTCCCAGGGGGTTTTGATCCTCCCAGTCCCCTTCCTCCCCCCTCCTCAGTCCTCCTCCTATCCTCCTCCTCGTCCTAGTCTCCTTTATCGCCCCAAAAAGTTTCCTCCTCCCGGGCCCTCCCTTTTCCTTTTGGGGGGCCTTTTTTCCCGGGTTTCCCCCTCTGGGCCCCCCCTCCGGGGGGCCTCCCTTTCCTTTGGGTCCTCCTTCTCCCCCCTCAGTCCTTCTCCTCCTCCCCCTCAGTCCCCTTTCCCCTCTTCCTCCTCCCCTCCCTCTCCCGTCATCCTCCCCAACCTTTCCCCCAGCCATCCCCCTCGTCTCCCCCTTCTCAGTCCTCCTCAGTTCTCCTCCCCGGTTCAAACCCCCGAGTCAAACCTCCTAAATTTCTCCCCTCCCTTCCCCTTGGTCCTCCTCCTCCTCCTCCCTTTGGGGCTTCCCGTCCTTCTCCCCCCTCAGTATTTCCCCCCGTCATTCCCCCTCATTCCTCCTCCCCCAGCCCTTTCAGCCTCCTTTCCCCGCCATCCTTTCAGCCCCTCCTCCCCGAAATTTCTACTTCCGAATCTTCAGTCCTCCAAAAAGTTTGTTTGCTAAAGTTCCAAAAAAGGCCCTATTTTTCCCCCCCAATTTTCCCCTTCCCCCCAATCCGGGGTTTCCCCAAAGTCCGTCGAGTCCGCCAAAGCGTCCCAGTTCCCCCAAAGTCCTTTTCCCGGGCCCCCAAAATGGGGCCCGTCCGTGTTTTCCCCCAAATTCCCAAAAAACCCGTCCGTTTCCCCCCAAGGGAACCAAAAAAAAGGGCCCGGGGCATAGTCGGGCATAGACGGACATGAACCCCCCCCCCCCCCCCCCCCCCCCCCCCCCCCCAAATTTTTGTAAAACCGGGTAATTAAAATTTTTAATTCAAATTTTGTTTGGGGAACCCCCTTTCAATTTAAAATTTTTTCCACAGGTTTTCAATTTTTTGGTTTAGTGCCCCCCCCCACTTTTGGGGCCACGGTAACAACACCCCAAATTTAAATTTAAATGAGGTTTTTTTGGTTTGGAAAGTTTGTTTTGATGATGGGTTTATCGTGTCCCCCTTTCCTGGTCCCAAACCTTTGTAAGCTTAATTTCTTTGGGGACTGGGGGTTTTTGTTCCCCTTTTCCCAAAACGGGGTGTTGTGGACGTTTGGGGAGCCTGCTGTCCTCAAGGTTTGTCTCTTCAAAATGAACTTAAAATGACGATCCTTCGAAAAATGTCTTACGAAATGAATTGGGTAATGGAATGGGTCGAAGATTGTAGCATTTTGAATTCCGACTTAACAGTAAGAGGCAGGATATTATTATTTCAAAAAATTTCATTTTGTGTCTTTTAAATTTTAGTTTCTCTCTCCCAGGTTACACATGTGACGTGAGTGCAGGAACATGTGACAGAGGTAACACACAATCTGAACTAACTGAGTTGTCAGTTGGAAGTGTTAGTTGTGATGATGGTTCATCGTGTCCTACTGGTACAACGTGTTGTAAGCTATCTTCTGGAGACTGGGGTTGTTGTCCTTATCCTAAAGCTGTGTGTTGTGACGATGGAGAGCACTGCTGTCCTCAAGGTTTGTCTCTTTCAATTGAACTTAAATGATGATCCTTCGAAAAATGTCTTACGAAATGAATTGGGTAATGGAATGGGTCGAAGATTGTAGCATTTTGAATTCCGACTTAAAATTAAGAGGCAGGAAATTATTATTTTAACTCCACTTTTGACCTATTTGGAGGCCATTTATTAATTCCATAATTGCACCGGTTTTTGTTCCAGGGGGTGCGATTACAAAACTAATTGCACTGTTTTGAGAGTGACCGAAATCTTATTAGGTACGATTACTAAACTAATTGCACTGATTCCCTGAAAGATGCTGCAAATCATGGCTCAGGCAGATAATTAGAGTTAGAGAGAGCACCTCGTAAAATGAGGACCTAATTAAAACCGAGTATTTTACTACTGTGAGGTGCTGATTTAAGTATTGACTTAAATCAACTACCTGAGGTAGTTTGGCGACCGTTAGTGGCAATGGTCGCACGAAACAAACTTGTGGGCATAAATTTAAATTTATAGTTTAGGACAACATCTTTCCTTGTGTTTGGAATAAGTCAATCCTTACATTGCATTAACACAACACAGTATGAGGCTGAGATCTCACTAATTATTTGTAAAACAAAAAGTGGCATAACTTATGTTCTGATAAATATTTTTGCTTCTAAATTTCACAGAATGTTAATAACAAGTATCTAAACCTTTGTGGCAAGTTTTGTGTGATTGCGAACTTCACTGAGCTTATTTGACCAATTTAGCCCCTGAGCGAGCTAGCTTGAATTTCTCACCCAGAACTGTTTACATTGGTTAATAGAAACCACCAAAAAAATCCTGGGTAACAAAATAAAAAAACCAGCGATTTATTCACGTTTTACCAATTCTATTCACATGGATCCATCGCACATTCAATTCTCTTTATATTTTAACTGATAAGGACTATCACAAATGATCCTTCCTGCTTGTTTATATCGTTCTTCTTACATGGAATGTGCGATGTATCATGGTGAATAGAATTGGTAAAACATAAATAAATCGGTGGTTTTTTAATTTTTTTACCCAGGATTTTTTTTTGGTGGTTTCTATTAACCAATGTAAACAGTTCTGGGTGAGAAATTAAAGCTAGCACACTCAGGAGCTAACTTTGTCAGAGAAGCTCAGACTCACACAAAACTTAGCACGAAGTTGTGTCTAATTATGATTGACATTCTCTATAAATTTGAATCAAAAATATTAATCAGAACGTAAGTTATGGCGCTTTTCCATTCTGAAATAAAATAATTAGTGAGATCTCAGCGAGCTGTTACAATTTTAAGAGATAAGGATGGGTAGACTTTTGAGGCCCACCCTGTATAACAACAAAGTCGGTGCGATTATAAACTAATTACACTGGTTATAACATCAGAGGCGTGGAGTTATACGTGAATCTAACTGCATGTATAATACGATTACACCAGTTATTGCACTCGGCTGCGCCTCGTGAAATAACTGCAATAATCGAACTCGGCTTTTATTATTCGTGCGATTATTGTATCAATTTCCACTCGGCTGCGCCTCGTGCAATTAATAGTGTACCTTAGTGCAAGAAATATAGGCGGCAAGAATATAAGGCGCTAGAAATTAAGGCGGCAAGAAATTAAGGCGATATTTTTTTCGGAAAAAATACGATTTTTGATCGCAAATTTGGTTATAGTTTTGGTCGAAATAGTGTCAATTTTATTCTTTTATCAGTCTATAAAGCATAGAAATCTGTTTAAAAATACGATATATTGGACATTGGTCACATAAAAACTAAATGGTGCATGCACATTATATTTATAGTGATTGCTGTTCTGTCGTCTAAGTTTATAATTTTAAATTAGGTAGACATCCACTACATCAGCAAACTGCAAGTCAATTGGTATATTCATTGCATTTGACAAAATGATAGTGCACATTCTATACGCGGCAAGGAATTTTTATGTATGTATACTACATATCATCATTAAAATTAAAAATTATTTCTTTTTAAAATTAAAACTCGATTTAAAGCTTAAAAATGAAATGTAAAATTGTACGAACATTCGAATTTGAACTGACATTAATAACACATGTACTGCAGTTTAAATCTCAATAGAATATAGTCCGAGAAGCCGAGATAAAAAACATGAAGTTAGATCCTGAGCGCTGCAAATGGATCAATCAGCGAAATAAATAACAAATAACGAAATCGACATGTAAATTTAAAATAATAAAATCACACGAAAATTTCTTATGAAAAAATCGCAAGAAAAAAAATTAAGGCGGTTAGAAATTACGGTGGTCAGATATTAAGGCGGCAAGAAATTAAGGCGATTTTGTCAGAATCGCCTTAATTTCTTGCCGCCTATATTTCTTGCACTAAGGTAATCGCATTATACGCAGTTAGATTAGCGTATATAATTTAATTTTGTCTCTTTTAAATTTAAGTTTCTTTGTCCCAGGTTACACATGTGACGTGAGTGCAGGAACATGTGACAGAGGTAACACACAATCTGAACTAATTAAGTTGTCAGTTGGAAGTGTTAGTTGTGATGATGGTTCATCGTGTCCTACTGGTACAACGGGTTGTAAGCTATCTTCTGGAGACTGGGGTTGTTGTCCTTATCCTGAAGCTGTGTGTTGTGACGATGGAGAGCACTGCTGTCCTCAAGGTTTGTCTCTTTCAAAAGAACTTAAAATGATGATCCTTCGAAAAATGTCTTACGAAATGAATTGGTTAATGGAATGGGTCGAAGATTGTTCAAGTATTTTGAATTCCGACTTAAAATTAAGAGGCAGGATATTATTTTTATTATCTTTAATTTCATTTTGCCTCTTTTAAGCTTAATTTTCTCTCTCTTAGGCTACACATGTGATGTAAGTGCAGGAACATGTGACAGAGGTAACACACAATCTGAACTAATTAAGTTGTCAGTTGGAAGTGTTAGTTGTGATGATGGTTCATATTGTCCTACTGGTACAACGTGTTGTAAGCTTTCTTCTGGAGACTGGGGTTGTTGTCCTTATCCTGAAGCTGTGTGTTGTGACGATGGAGAGCACTGCTGTCCTCAAGGTTTGTCTCTTTAAAAAGAACTTAAAATCGGTGGTTGCAAAGTGGCGTCCAATCAGAACTTCTGATGAAACAAATAAGCAAGTGATTTAAATCCTTCGAAAATGTTTTACAAAATTAATTGGAAGATGGGTCAAGAATCGAAGCATTTTGAATCCCAACTTAAGATAAAGAGGCAGGACATTGAAATGAATAAATAATAAATTGCTTGTATACCGCCCATTATTATTATTCATTTATTTAGTTTTGTTTCTTGGTTAAGGGGTTTTCCAAACTCCAGGGGCTCGTGAAGTGTCTTACACAACCTCTCCGAGCCCAAGATCCGTAGTGCGTGGTGAAGAGCCACACCCTTCTCGAGGTGCCACTGTTAAGCTTAGTAGCCTGTTCTGGGTGATTCCAGTTAAAACAGGTGAACGGTAACAGAACACTGCGGCTCTAGACCAGTACAAGTCGAAAAATATAACCGGGACATCTGTCTCGTTAGGACTGCATGCAGTTCATCGGGTGCGAAGGGCCAGCATCCCTTCCACCCCAAATAACAACGCTACTGAAACAACACACACATCAAATGGACGGAGTGCTACTTCCGATTCAAGGACGGATGGTTCCAGCATGACGGAGGCTGGGCAAAGCCTACGGGACCCCAGTCGCCTGATGAGAAGAGGGGGTACTCGTCATCCGACCAGATTTATTAGTCAACAGATCATCCATGTTGACCCTGCTTCCAACAAATCCAATCCAGTAAATTATTGCAAACAGTTTTTACGTTTTGGAACATGGAACGTTCTATCTCTTGTCAGCTCATCTACACAGCTCTACCAACTTAGTAAAAACATTGATCAGTACAGATTGGATCTTTTGGGGATCACCGAGACTCACATGCCTGGATCTGGCACCACTCTACTGGACAATGGCAGTCTACTCATCCATTCCGGTAGAGTCGACGGGATCAAGAGACAGGGAGTAGGTCTCAGTCTTTCAAAACGAATCAGAAACTCCCTGATATCGTTCACTCCCACATCGGAGCGGGTTTTAACTGCTAGGCTGCATAGTAAGCAAATCAACATCTCTGTTGTTGTGGCCTATGCTCCAACTGAGGGTGCAGAGGAGAGTGAGAAAGATAAGTTTTATAGGACACTCACAGATACATTTGATGGGCTACCTCGTCACGATATCAAGTTACTGCTCGGCGATTTTAATGCAAAAGTAACATCAGGCAGATATGGAAGTGAAGCGGTCATCGGTGGGGAATCACTCCATAGCTCATCAAATGACAACGGGACAAGACTTGTGGATTTCTGTGCGACGAACCAGCTTGTCATCGGGGGAACTCTCTTCGAGCACAAGAACATTCACAAGGGAACATGGCGGTCCCCCAACGGGCTCACCGTCAATCAGATAGATCATATCTGCATTGGAAAGCGGTTTCGTCAGCGGTCAGTCACTTTTTGATGTTAGGGTATGTCGCGGGGCAGACATCGGCTCCGATCATTATCTGGTTCTAGGACTGCTGAAAATCAAACTTCAGTCAGTGACAAAGATCAACGCCAACAGGCCCAATGTGCCTGCCATTGAGCGCCTGAGGGATAGTACTACGGTTTTAGAGTACAATGTGGCTCTTCAAAACCGATTTGCAAGTCTGGATAGTGAGGTCGACCTCGAGGATATGTGGCGTAATCTCAGTCAGACCGTCACTGATGTCTCACTGGAGGTACTAGGCAAAAGACCCCGGAAGGCAAAGGAGCAACACCTGTCACGGAAGACCAAGGATTTATTGACTCAGCGGGCACAGTTTAAGCGCAAAGACCCAAACTCGGACACTAACAGGTCAGAGTATTCTAAACTTAATAAGTTAGTCAAGAAAAGCAGCAAGCTAGATGACAATAACTGGGCAGTTAGAGTAGCTACTGATCTTGAGGAAGCAGCGAGCAAAGGTCAGCAGCGTGAGGTATGGGCAAAGATCAAGAAGATCTCTGGTAAGAACAAGAAGCCTCAAGCATCTTGTGTCCGGGACAAGGACGGTAGGAAGATCACGGATCCCCAACAGCAGAGGGATAGGTGGAAGGAGCACTTTACTGAACTTCTGAACCCCCCATCATCAAGTGTCAACCTTGCCGACCTTGATACAGTACCACCCCAACCCCACTTTAACTCTCTCTCTTGTTCGGATGGACCACCCACCAGAGACGAGATTAGTTATTCCCTGACAAAGCTTAAGAACAACAAAAGCCCAGGAGTGGACGGGATAACTAACGAGCAACTGAAGTATGGTGCGAGTGCTCTAGTTGATCAACTAGAGTGTCTATTCAAGAAAGTGTGGGAAGAAGAGACTGTTCCTGAAGATTGGTTAAAGGGTGTGATCATTGTTATTGGGAAGAAAGGAGACACTTCAGTCTGCGGGAACAACAGAGGGATCACCTTAAGGTCTACAGCATCCAAGCTTTTTCAGATGATTCTTCTTAAGCGGTTACATGCTGGTATGGAGTGTCTCCTCAGGGAGAATCAGTGCGGATTTAGACAGAACCGCTCATGTATTGATCAGATTTATTCTCTCCGAACTATTATTCATAACTGTCTTGAGTTTAACATTCCTCTTTACATTAATTTTGTGGATTTCAAGGCAGCGTTCGATTCTATCAGAAGGGACTTTATTTGGTGCAGTATGAGACACTATGGGCTGCCTGAAAAATATGTCAGAATATTTCAGTCATTTTTTGGGGGTACCATGAGTGCCGTGAGGGTTAATGGGGAGCTGACAGACTGGTTTGATGTTAACTCAGGCACAGGTCAGGGTGACATTCAAGCACCTCCTGTCTTTAATTTCTGCCTAAACTTTTCTGCATTTCTGGCTGAGACCAACAAGATCATCAGTCAAGGCGCAGTGCTGCAGAAAGAGATGAAGACGGTCGAGGAAAAGGTCATTCTGGACACCGATTATGCTGATGACATGGCTATTATGGACAACTCAGGGGAAGGCCTACAGGAATCAACTGATCTATTAGTTCATTACAGCTCCTACGCTGGGCTCAGAATAAATGCAAAGAAGACCCAATGCATGGCTGTAAGCAAGTGCGCCTCCCAGCGACCTTTCATCAAGGATGATTGTATTGAGCTGTCGGTTGAGGGTGAACCCGTCGAGCAGGTTAGCAACTTTGTCTACCTGGGTGCAACTATTAGTGGGGATGGGACAATCAACAGAGACCTGGATGTCCGTATCCAGAAGGCTAATGGCGCCTTTCATCAGCTCTGGAACATTTGGAATAGCAGAACTATAAAGACTCCAACCAAGATCAGGATCTATAGGGCTGCTGTCCTCACTATCTTGTTGTATGGAGCTGAAGTCTGGAACACCACCAAAAAGCAGATGAAACGTTTCGAGGTTTTCCATCAAACCTCCTTGAGAAGGATCCTTAGGATTAAATGGTTCTTTCGTGTAACCAACGACGAAGTTCTTAGGAGGGCTGGCATCAAGTCAGTTGAGACTTTCATCAGTGCTGCCAGGCTACGTTGGTATGGACATGTAGTTAGAATGCCAGACTCTAGACTACCGAGGTTTCCGTTGAACTGGAAGCCAAACTATGGAAAGAGGTCAAGGGGCAGACCCCGTAAGAACTGGAAGTCCTGCGTACTCGAAGATGCTGCTAAGTTTACAGGTGTTGAAAACATCGACAACGACACAACAGAAGCTTTGGCTACCAACCGAGTACAGTGGAGACATATGTTACGCCGCCAACGCGATGTGTGTGATGCAGGCCACTCCAACGACTAGGAGGAGACCTTACCATGTAACATGTATGTATGTTTCTTTTCAATTTTAGTTTTTTCTCACAGGTTACACATGTGATGTGAGTGCAGGAACATGTGACAGAGGTAACACACAATCTGAACTAACTGAGTTGTCAGTTGGAAGTGTTAGTTGTGATGATGGTTCATCGTGTCCTACTGGTACAACGTGTTGTAAGCTATCTTCTGGAGACTGGGGTTGTTGTCCTTATCCTAAAGCTGTGTGTTGTGACGATGGAGAGCACTGCTGTCCTCAAGGTTTGTCTCTTCAAAATGAACTTAAAATGACGATCCTTCGAAAAATGTCTTACGAAATGAATTGGGTAATGGAATGGGTCGAAGATTGTAGCATTTTGAATTCCGACTTAACAGTAAGAGGCAGGATATTATTATTTCAAAAAATTTCATTTTGTGTCTTTTAAATTTTAGTTTCTCTCTCCCAGGTTACACATGTGACGTGAGTGCAGGAACATGTGACAGAGGTAACACACAATCTGAACTAACTGAGTTGTCAGTTGGAAGTGTTAGTTGTGATGATGGTTCATCGTGTCCTACTGGTACAACGTGTTGTAAGCTATCTTCTGGAGACTGGGGTTGTTGTCCTTATCCTAAAGCTGTGTGTTGTGACGATGGAGAGCACTGCTGTCCTCAAGGTTTGTCTCTTCAAAATGAACTTAAAATGACGATCCTTCGAAAAATGTCTTACGAAATGAATTGGGTAATGGAATGGGTCGAAGATTGTAGCATTTTGAATTCCGACTTAACAGTAAGAGGCAGGATATTATTATTTCAAAAAATTTCATTTTGTGTCTTTTAAATTTTAGTTTCTCTCTCCCAGGTTACACATGTGACGTGAGTGCAGGAACATGTGACAGAGGTAACACACAATCTGAACTAACTGAGTTGTCAGTTGGAAGTGTTAGTTGTGATGATGGTTCATCGTGTCCTACTGGTACAACGTGTTGTAAGCTATCTTCTGGAGACTGGGGTTGTTGTCCTTATCCTAAAGCTGTGTGTTGTGACGATGGAGAGCACTGCTGTCCTCAAGGTTTGTCTCTTTCAATTGAACTTAAATGATGATCCTTCGAAAAATGTCTTACGAAATGAATTGGGTAATGGAATGGGTCGAAGATTGTAGCATTTTGAATTCCGACTTAAAATTAAGAGGCAGGAAATTATTATTTTAACTCCACTTTTGACCTATTTGGAGGCCATTTATTAATTCCATAATTGCACCGGTTTTTGTTCCAGGGGGTGCGATTACAAAACTAATTGCACTGTTTTGAGAGTGACCGAAATCTTATTAGGTACGATTACTAAACTAATTGCACTGATTCCCTGAAAGATGCTGCAAATCATGGCTCAGGCAGATAATTAGAGTTAGAGAGAGCACCTCGTAAAATGAGGACCTAATTAAAACCGAGTATTTTACTACTGTGAGGTGCTGATTTAAGTATTGACTTAAATCAACTACCTGAGGTAGTTTGGCGACCGTTAGTGCAATGGTCGCACGAAACAAACTTGTGGGCATAAATTTAAATTTATAGTTTAGGACAACATCTTTCCTTGTGTTTGGAATAAGTCAATCCTTACATTGCATTAACACAACACAGTATGAGGCTGAGATCTCACTAATTATTTGTAAAACAAAAAGTGGCATAACTTATGTTCTGATAAATATTTTTGCTTCTAAATTTCACAGAATGTTAATAACAAGTATCTAAACCTTTGTGGCAAGTTTTGTGTGATTGCGAACTTCACTGAGCTTATTTGACCAATTTAGCCCCTGAGCGAGCTAGCTTGAATTTCTCACCCAGAACTGTTTACATTGGTTAATAGAAACCACCAAAAAAAATCCTGGGTAACAAAATAAAAAAACCAGCGATTTATTCACGTTTTACCAATTCTATTCACATGGATCCATCGCACATTCAATTCTCTTTATATTTTAACTGATAAGGACTATCACAAATGATCCTTCCTGCTTGTTTATATCGTTCTTCTTACATGGAATGTGCGATGTATCATGGTGAATAGAATTGGTAAAACATAAATAAATCGGTGGTTTTTTAATTTTTTTACCCAGGATTTTTTTTGGTGGTTTCTATTAACCAATGTAAACAGTTCTGGGTGAGAAATTAAAGCTAGCACACTCAGGAGCTAACTTTGTCAGACAAGCTCAGACTCACACAAAACTTAGCACGAAGTTGTGTCTAATTATGATTGACATTCTCTAAAAATTTGAATCAAAAATATTAATCAGAACGTAAGTTATGGCGCTTTTCCATTCTGAAATAAAATAATTAGTGAGATCTCAGCGAGCTGTTACAATTTTAAGAGATAAGGATGGGTAGACTTTTGAGGCCCACCCTGTATAACAACAAAGTCGGTGCGATTATAAACTAATTACACTGGTTATAACATCAGAGGCGTGGAGTTATACGTGAATCTAACTGCATGTATAATACGATTACACCAGTTATTGCACTCGGCTGCGCCTCGTGAAATAACTGCAATAATCGAACTCGGCTTTTATTATTCGTGCGATTATTGTATCAATTTCCACTCGGCTGCGCCTCGTGCAATTAATAGTGTAATCGCATTATACGCAGTTAGATTAGCGTATATAATTTAATTTTGTCTCTTTTAAATTTAAGTTTCTTTGTCCCAGGTTACACATGTGACGTGAGTGCAGGAACATGTGACAGAGGTAACACACAATCTGAACTAACTGAGTTGTCAGTTGGAAGTGTTAGTTGTGATGATGGTTCATCGTGTCCTACTGGTACAACGTGTTGTAAGCTAGATTCTGGAGACTGGGGTTGTTGTCCTTATCCTAAAGCTGTGTGTTGTGACGATGGAGAGCACTGCTGTCCTCAAGGTTTGTCTCTTTCAAAAGAACTTAAAATGATGATCCTTCGAAAAATGTCTTACGAAATGAATTGGTTAATTGAATGGGTCGAAGATTGTTCAAGTATTTTGAATTCCGACTTAAAATTAAGAGGCAGGATATTATTTTTATTATCTTTAATTTCATTTTGCCTCTTTTAAGCTTAATTTTCTCTCTCTTAGGCTACACATGTGATGTAAGTGCAGGAACATGTGACAGAGGTAACACACAATCTGAACTAACTGAGTTGTCAGTTGGAATTGTTAGTTGTGATGATGGTTCATATTGTCCTACTGGTACAACGTGTTGTAAGCTATCTTCTGGAGACTGGGGTTGTTGTCCTTATCCTAAAGCTGTGTGTTGTGACGATGGAAAGCACTGCTGTCCTCAAGGTTTGTCTCTTTAAAAATGACTTAAAATGATGATCCTTCGAAAATATTATACGAAATGAATAGGTTATGAGTCAAGGATTGAAGCATTTTGAATCCTGACTGAAGATAAAAAGGCAGGATATTGTTTTTATCATTTTTTACTTTCTTTTCTCTTTATTTAATTTTAGTTTCTTTGTCCCAGGCTACACATGCGACTTGAGTGCAGGAACATGTGACAGAGGTAACACACAATCTGAACTAACTGAGTTGTCAGTTGGAAGTGTTAAATGTGATGATGGTTCATCGTGTCCTACTGGTACAACGTGTTGTAAGCTATCTTCTGGAGACTGGGGTTGTTGTCCTTATCCTAAAGCTGTGTGTTGTGACGATGGAGAGCACTGCTGTCCTCAAGGTTTGTCTCTTTCAAAAAAACTTAAAATGATGATCCTTTGAAAATGTCTTACGAAATGCAATGAATAGGTTATGGGTTGAAACATTTAGAGTCCCGACTTAAGATTAAGAGGCAGGAAATTTGTATTATTGTTTAATTTTTTCTCTTTTAAATTTAAGTTTCTTTGTCCCAGGTTACACATGTGACGTGAGTGCAGGAACATGTGACAGAGGTAACACACAATCTGAACTAACTGAGTTGTCAGTTGGAAGTGTTAGTTGTGATGATGGTTCATATTGTCCTACTGGTACAACGTGTTGTAAGCTATCTTCTGGAGACTGGGGTTGTTGTCCTTATCCTAAAGCTGTGTGTTGTGACGATGGAGAGCACTGCTGTCCTCAAGGTTTGTCTCTTTAAAAAAGAACTTAAAATAAATGGTTGCAAAGTGGTGTCCAATCAGAACTTCTGATGAAACAAATAAACAATTAATTTGAATCCTTCGAAAATGTTTTACAAAATTAATTGGTAAATGGGTCAAGAATCGGAGTATTTTGAATTCCAAGTTAAGATAAAGAGGCAGGACATTGAAATGAATAAATTGCTCGTATACCGCCCATTGCATTATTATTATTTATTTATTTAATTTTGTTTCTTTTTCGTTTTAGTTTCTCTCTCCCAGGTTACACATGTGACGTGAGTGCAGGAACATGTGACAGAGGTAACACACAATCTGAACTAACTGAGTTGTCAGTTGGAAGTGTTAGTTGTGATGATGGTTCATCGTGTCCTACTGGTACAACGTGTTGTAAGCTATCTTCTGGAGACTGGGGTTGTTGTCCTTATCCTAAAGCTGTGTGTTGTGACGATGGAGAGCACTGCTGTCCTCAAGGTTTGTCTCTTTAAAAAAGAACTTAAAATAAATGGTTGCAAAGTGGTGTCCAATCAGAACTTCTGATGAAACAAATAAACAATTAATTTGAATCCTTCGAAAATGTTTTACAAAATTAATTGGTAAATGGGTCAAGAATCGGAGTATTTTGAATTCCAAGTTAAGATAAAGAGGCAGGACATTGAAATGAATAAATTGCTCGTATACCGCCCATTGCATTATTATTATTTTTTATTTTATTTTGTCTCTTTTTAATTTAAGTTTCTTTGTCCCAGGTTACACATGTGACGTGAGTGCAGGAACATGTGACAGAGCCAGTACAAACACAGAGCTCACATCCGGGTGGGATGAAGATTGCGGCGACGGTACAGCTTGTCCAGGTGGTACATCATGCTGCAAGATGACGGCCGGTTATTACGGTTGCTGTCCTTACCCTAACGCTGTTTGTTGTCAAGATCAAAAACATTGCTGTCCTAATGGTTTGTTTATTATGATTTTAATTGTTTCTGATCATTTTATTTTGAACTGTAAACCGTTCAGTCGCTTTAAATCGTCATTTAATGTAAATAAATTCATATTAACCTAATTTATGTGAGAGTTGGTTGAAAATGATTAAAGATTCTCGTTATGTTCTCTGTGTCTGTTGTCCAGTATTATGTTATCAATTATAGTAGTAAATCTTTCAAAGTACGAAATATCTCTTTAAAAGAGCATCCTAGGCACCTTATAGATATCAAAACGCATAAAAAAGAAAACAAAACATCAACCATCTTCTAACTTCTTCCACTCCTCCCTATCTAAAGCTAAAAATCTAAGGTCTTCGAAATCAGTCAAATTCTTAAGTCTAATATCAAGATTTCTACTAGTCAAGTCTTTTCTAATAACATCTAATACGTTTAAACATGGTCTACCCCGTCTCCCTTCCATAAAAATATCAGAATTTATAGCAAATAACATAGAGGTGTATGCTGGTGAGTCTTCCTGTCCTCTTAAGATATGTCCTAACATTCTCCATCGAAACTTAGAGACTCTCACAGACAAGGGAGTGACATAACAACGAGCATAGAGTGCCTCATTAGAAATAACCCCAGTAGGCCATCTGATGTTGAGGATTCTTCGGAGGTGTTTGCGATGAGCAATATCAAGTTCATTCAACGAAGCTAGTGGTGCAGCCCAGGAGTTGCAGTTGTAGAGTAGAATAGAGACTACTTGTGCCTCGTAGATTTTGATCTTCCTTTGGACTGAAATCTTGCTCTTCATCCAAACTTTCTGAAATTTACTAAAGGCAACATTACCAAGGAATATTCGATTCTTGATATCCTTAACAGTGCACATCAACGATCCTAAAGTTTTGTTAGAGCGCCACTCTTCATCACCTCTATACACTTTTCCAACAATCACCTTGCGTTTAACAGTGGGTTTAGGATCTGCTAAATAAAAATGGACAAATTCAGTCTTGGAAGAATTGATATGAAGGTCCCACTGCTGGAATATATCTTTAGCGATAGGAAGCATTTCTTTGAGTGGAGCAAGTTCAGTGTTATTAAAGTCAATATCATCAGAGTATCCTGTTTCGAGTGGCATGAATTCTTCTGAGATAGGAGGATTAGGGATTGGATGATTCACTGGGTAAGGTGTTGATGATACTTGGGAGAGTACAGATCTGAGGTGAATAAGTGCAGCGGCTTCAACAACAGTAAATAGATTACCTGATAGTGCATCTCCTTGAAATGCTCCAGTTGTGCTTTGGAACTCAATTGATACAGTATTATTGACTTTTACTTTCAACACTGTGTTTGATAATAGGAGCCGTACCATCCTAATTTCATCACTAGTACAGCCAGCATCTTCAAGAACATTGAGTACTATTTCTCTGCTGATGGTGTCAAAGGCACTTGACATGTCTATACTCATTCTGTGGTAGCTCCAATGCTTTCTAAGTACCACTGAGGTTAGCATACGTTGAGACCAAATGATATCGCCACAACTTCTACCTCTCTTGTAAGCACTTTGTGTAGGACCGGTGTACTGATCTAGCTTGCCTTGGATACGTTTTAGGGTAATCATTGACAGTAATTTTCTGGAGCAGTTTGAGAGGGTGAGAGGTCTGATGTTTGCTGCTGGACCAAGTGGTTTCTTAGGCTTTTGGAGTGGAGTAATGTTGCCTTTTCCAATAGATGTTATGGTGGTGTTTGTTTCAAATGCGGTATTTATACAGTCTGCATATTTCTGAAATACACTTCTGTTTGCATACTTAATCAATTCACTTGGGATATCATCAGGCCCAGTGGCTCTACCACTCTTCAAAGCTTTAGCAGCTATCTCAACTTCAATAGCAGTAATAGGGTCAGCGAGAGGACTAGGTTGATCAAAGAAAGTGTCAATAGGCTCAACTGTATGTTTTGCAGTGAACTTCTCTTCAAAGTGGTTTTTTAGTGTAGCAGCTTTTTCAGTGTCTGTACCTATGAAGTTAGAGTTTTCATCATGCACACTTATGGTTGGAGCACGTTTGATACCTGCTAGTTGGCGAGTGGCTGCAAAGTATGCTCTAGAACTATCAGTTTCGTTTATCTCTTACGAGTGTCATTTTGAATACGATTGATTTTGGTACGTATAACTGATCTATCTTCAGAGGTGTTGTTCTGATTGAGTAGAGCTTGTAGAACTTTCTTTTCATCAGACATCTCTCGAATTTCAAGGTCATTACAAAAGTTTTTAGGGCGTTTCCTAGGAAGGTATCCAATACTAACCTCAGCAGCTTTATGTACATTGTGAAACAAACTATTCATTTCTTCCTCAGGGTTAGGATTAACAGGGCTGTCTGTTAGAATATCATTCAATGTGTTGTTGTAATGCATTTTAGCAGCAGGATTACTGACAAGGGTTGTGATATCAAAATGCATTTTAGGTTTCTGTTTGGGGAAGACAAGGTGAGCGTCACTGAAGTTGAAACGTGTAATAACAATTTTATGATCAGATTTAACAAGAGTACCCCCATAACTTCGAGAATTCACTAAAAGTTTCTTCAATCGACTGCTACATAGGACATAGTCAATTTGAGAGTAGTAGGGCAAAGTGCGATGTGAGTTTTTAGGAGCTGAGTAGTCTTTCATAAAACCAATTCTTGTTGTTATATGACGGACAGGGTGCTGGAAGCTAGTGTTGCAAGCAAAAAGTTTTTTATCAACAAGAAAATTAAGAAGATGCTCTCCATTTGAATTCCTCTTTCCAGACCCATACATACCCATAAAGTCATTATACCCGAAAACAATATCTGAATGAGACAATTTACCGAGTCGAGAGTTGAAATCTCCAAGAATATATAAGTCCCAACTTGATGGGATATCAACAGCTTTGCCAAGAAACTTGTAGAAATAATCACGTCTCTGCGGATACTTATCACAATTTACTTGAGTGTGTCCATAGGCATTGATAACACGGCAAAGTCTTGGTTTACCTGATTTACTTGGTATCTCAAGATCTAGATAAGCAACCCTGTCACTGATACTGTTGTAACACTTGATGTAGTTGGTATAGACTGAATTTACAAGAAAACCAATACCTGCTTGCCACTTATTGTCAAATTGCTGAAAGTTTATGAAGCGATATTTGTGTGATTTCCCATCATCATCTGTAAAATGCAAAACTGAATCCTCAAAGTGACGACATTTTGTTTCTTGCACAGCGAGAATGTCTATTTTACGATAATAGCAATCTCTCAAAAGTTCATCCCGTTTAACTGGAGAAGTAATACCCAGGACATTAAAAGTAGCTAGAGTGAAGATTAGTGCTGTGCTTCTTCTTTTTTTTTTGCGTTCTGATGTAGATAATCTACTCTGTACGTTGCCGCCAGAGCATCTGCCGAAATCACTCGAACAGGCCATCCTAAAAATTTATAATTTATTATCAATTATAATAAATCTAAAATACTGATAAGCTGATACACTAGGTACTACTCTAAAATACTGATAAGCTGATACACTAGGTACTACTCTAAAATACGGATAAGCTGATACACTAGGTACTACTCTAAAATACTGATAAGCTGATACACTAGGTACTTGAGCCCACAGTTTGGCTCCATATTGAGCCATACTACCCATAAGTTAGTAGTTCATACTCAATTTTTCTAAAAACCCTTCTCGGAGCATATAAATCACCTTCAGAAGGATTCCGTAGAAGGAATTTCATTCCTTCATTCCATTATTGCATCTTTATACGGACTAAGGTTTAATTTGTTCTACTCACGGCAAAGTTTCCATTGCTGATAGTTCCTCTCAGGGAATGTTACCGTGTTATATCATCGTATCATATTTCAATATCCATTATCCATTATCATTAGTGGCCAGAAAGCCAGTGAAAAGGCCTAGTATTAAATTGTTTTTATCGTTAAAACGTTATAAAGTTAGGTTAGCAAGGAAAATATACGATTGACAATTTTCTGCGATATTTCAATAAATGTATATTGTATAGGGACATAAAGATACATAAAATGTATATTTGTATAGGTAAATTCCGCTCAAACTATACCACCATGCATACATAACATAAGAAATCAAAGTTTCAACAATACAATACAATAAACTTCATTTCCCCTCAGGTCATACATGTGACTCCAGCTCTAAAAAGTGCTATCACCACCAATCAGAGGCCAATAACACCCTACAAGCCGGCCAGGTGATGGGTGATAACACCCTACAAGCCGGCCAGGTGATGGGTGATAACACCCTCCAAGCCGGCCAGGTGATGGGTGATAACACCCTCCAAGCCGGCCAGGTGATGGGTGATAACACCCTCCAAGCCGGCCAGGTGATGGGTGATAACACTCTACAAGCCGGCCAGGTGATGGGTGATAACACCCTCCAAGCCGGCCAGGTGATGGGTGATAACACCCTACAAGCCGGCCAGGTGATGGGTGAGATTAGCCCTGCTCAACACATTCCTTCATCACGTGGTATGAGTAATAAAAGCATTCCTGAGGAGGGTTCTGGGGATGATGGAAAGGGGTTCTGTAAGGACGGCAAGTGGTGTGGCGTTGAGAAATGTTGTTATGATTCAGATGGTAAAACTGTTGGCTGCTGCAAGTTCGCTAAAGGTAATATTTTTGTTGAAACTCTTAGTTTTTTAGTTGAAACTCTTTATTCTTCAGTTGAAATTCTTAGTTCTTTAGTTACAACTCTTAGTTCTATCTTTGTAAATATGTGTGCCGTTATAATTGTTTGTCGTTATAATTGTAAACAAGTTTGCGAATTTATAAGTATTTTTTATTCATTGAAATACTTTAAATTAATGAATTTATCTTTCATTCGGTGAGCTGGGAAACTCCCTAATTCAGTTATTCAGGCCTGCTCAATGCTCAAGATAAGATAAGACTTGATAAGATAATACAGTACTTGTGACAGAAAAAACGTCATGATTTCATATTACGAGAACCTCGTGATATCAAGATAAAGTGATAACATTTTCAGGTGTGTGCTGTTCTAATGGTAAAAACTGTTGTAAGGCGACTGAAATATGTACACAGCAAGGAAGCTGCATTCCTTCCAACTCTTCTGGTATCGGTGAGAATTTTTTAATATTTTATCAATATCAGTAAGTCTGAACATTGAACAAGCTGAAATAACTGCTAATTGTGGAGCCTTCCTACGGAATTGAGTACGAAGTAGGGTTCAAATATCAATATTCGATATTATTAATATTTTTGTGTATCAATGATACGATACTATGTATCATTTAAAAAGGCAACATTTGTATTTATCACGTATTGACATATTTTGACAAAGCGAATTTTCAATAATTATCCCGAGCATAATTACTCAACAACCCCAATCCAGGACCTTAAAGTAAAGTAATAATCTACCGTCTCTGAAAAAATTAGGCGTTCAGCATGTTCAGAGAAAACAATACAGGTGTTTTAATATTGAATGGGCGTGGTCTAAATTATTAGAATTTTCAAATTTTGACGACGGAATCCTCGAACCAGTAAGTACAGTATGCTATCTGCAAAGCAACAGCTCTCAAATATAAAACACGGCGGAGCTATCAAGGCCAACGTATGTTCAGTGACTTTTGGCCCACCCTGTATGATGATGACATCAATGTATCTTTCTAACTGAGTAGAAAAGTCTAATTCTGTAGCTTGTCAGGCTCCTTTTCACGGTGATTAAATTAAAGTTTCCTTGTTTCTCTTATAAACTATAGAAAATACATACGTTTATTATATACGGAATATATGATAGAGGGAATAATGTGCATAGTGTAGCATTATAAATTACATATATATTCAGTATAATCAGTACTCAGTAGGTTACTCGATACATTCAATATTCATGGGTATTAATTTGTATTTCCATAGTTATTCCGTGTTCCTTATACATCTAAACATCAGGGGAGGACGAGGAAAGTGCTGATTGCACCTCTTGTGCTGAAGGAGACACATGCTGTAGTGGACAGTGCTGTCCTCAATCTAACGGTGTGTGTTGTAATGACGGTGTCTCCTGCTGTCCTCATCAGTTCGAGTGTGATCTGTCACGTGGGCGTTGTATCCAGGTAAACTTGTTTGGTAAATTTTATGTTAGTTTATAGATAATTGTGATGTGATGGCTCTATATTATTGGGAGGATGTCTTTCTGCTGGTTATATTTCCCATCAAAACAATCACTGCGGTTTGTGGTTCTTCAGTAGTATAATAGGTATTTTTGAAGAAAAAAATGAGCGTGAATACTGTTTAACGATGACGACGGTTACTAGTGGAAGATTTTTGATTTTTGGTTTCTGATTTTCGAGTTTTAACTTTTCGCTCTAAAACGTAATTTGATCTTCTGCCTCGCGAATGCACGGCTTTGAATAAACAAGAAATGCGGCCGCTTTCCTTTTGTGGATGGCCGCTCAATTTCCCGATCCGGGATGAAGTATTTTATCATATTCCATACTGCACCTGGGGACCCCTGTCTTTGCGGTTTATAAGCATGCAGATATGGCGGAGTGACAGGCCGAGCGCCGCCCAGTTGATATAATTCTATATTGAATTTGAAAATCGTGTATATTTCTATGTAACCATATGTTTATTGTTTATGCAACCTGACACGGATTTGTGCAAAATAGTAATACTAACTCAAAATAATAATACAATGCTATCAATTTGTCCCTAGCGGGATGCGTACATGGTGAAATTAACAATGTACTTGAACATTTCAGCACCGTGCGCCAACAATTGTTTAATTCAGATGATCGCGCAAAATAACTTTGCGCAGGCAGACACGTGGGCGATAACTAGACTGGGGGCGAGGGCACGTACGCACGCACGCTCGCACGGTCGCAAGCTACCATATACAAAAAAAACCTCGATCGCTAACCCTTGTCCTTGACTCTTTTGTGCCTTCGGCACGAGTCATGGATCGGGAAAAAATCAGCTGACATCCTCTGTCCTCAGTTCAGTTCTTTTACTTGGAGAAAATAATGTTCGAAGGAACGTTGCGACCTGAACTATAGAGAGAAGAATCTGCAGTTGTTTATTAACTTGAGTACTCCATTGTGATGCAACTCATTCGAGTCACAAGACATATATACTCTATTATGATACACGATAAGTTACACGAGGATTACAGTGTTTTGCCTTCCTTATGTTGCGCGCCCGCTTCCGCCGAACGGATCGTTCATGTTAAAATGAGCGCGCACGTATGTTTATTCGCGCGCAAGTGCTGATATAAACAAACTTTATTTCATATCATGAATTCCAGAATCCAATAACCCATGGAGACGGTGAACCCTTTAATTGATTTGCTTGATGTCTTGTAGAAGGAGTTAATGTTATTCAGTCCGAGGAGTCTCAATCCTCCCGTCTCAAGATGGCGTTTCTCTTCTATCATTATATAATACGACAAGTTGATCTTGGTGCTCGATGAATCAAAGAGAAAGTGATAGAAACTACCATAGCGTACCTTTATTTAACATTTTACGTTTCAGAGAACCACTGGCCGGTTCCAGCCAATCAGCAAGCTAAGAAAACGGGAGAACGCACTTAGCTGTAAGACTCTGAAAGATTGTGGCAACGGCAGTTTCTGTCCTAAAGATTTGGAATGTTTGAACCTGTTCAAACTTTGCTACAGTACTCAACGAGAGGTATGATACACATTTTTGTTTTCTTTGATAGCACAACTGCTGCTGCAGCGCTACAATCTGCGTTTTAAGTAATAATTTATCGGTTTGCTGTGAGGGCAGCATTAAATTCACGGTTCCAGTCTGATAAAATTCAAGGGCTGGATTAAAGCATCACGAGGCAGATTCACCATTGTACCTACTTCAAGACATGAAGTGGAGTAAACATGAAGTTCATGTTTACTCCATTTTTTGTCATGATCATTTTCAAACAAAATGTTGAACGAGTGCTGTGTCTCGAAGGGCACACTGTTGTACTTCGCTTTTGATCAACGCTCAAATGGCGTGAACACGAACAAATCCTTTGGGGTATGCTTTTAAAGCCTGGTTATAAATATTAGAATTTTGTTCATTTATCTACTTCAACTAGTGATAATGACTTTCGTTTTCCTGTATGACACACTAATTCCAATTAATCTCAGGTTCACCAAAATATGATTGCGACTGCGAATGATTCTTGTGGAGTGATACGAAGAGTTTGGATGCTTTTTCAATTATCAGTCAGAGACACGATCTTCGTACTTGGCTGGTTTAATCTTTAAGTCCAACTTCATTTTTCGGAGAAAGTTTTATTAGTTTCAGAATAATAACAAATTCAACATATTTGAATGTCTTGAATCAGATTAAAACACAATTGTTGTTTTCATTTAATGTAATGTTTTTGCGATAATAATTTATTCTTGACGATTGAAAAGTCCAAAACTTTGATCAATTTTTACGTTTTCTAATGTTTTATTATCATTTTTAATTGTTAAGTATTGCAGTGGCGAATGGTTTAAATGGATTTAATTATTTAAAACTGGGTTTCTCTCTTCTTGGTAAATGCATCATAGTAAAAATGAAAGGAATTAAAGCACTTTAGCAGTATACTACAAATCTCTAATCGAAATTTGAATTACCCTTATTTTTGTTTTTGGTGCGGAGTCATACCGGAGCCTCCAATTTGTTGTAAAAACGTGCAATGCGTGACCAAAGAAGGAAACTAGATTACTGTCTACGTATGCCCATCACGTGGCAATTATCCCTGTGTTGACCTCAACACCAAGGCTTACTCATACACGCACAATATTAAATTTGCTTATCTCTTATTGACTGACTTGCAATTTTAAAGGGAGTGTACAGGATGTTCATTGCTTGGGGTTAGGTTGCTAAATGCTAAATCCTACTTGCCGACGCGCAGCTCTCGGAGCACTGCTTTCTACTACACTCGGTGCAGAAAAAGGTCTTTACAATATACTTATTGTAATATCGTCTTCCAACTAAAGTAATATATTTGGGTTTCGTTTCGTGACATGATTGTGCGCACTTATGAAAAGGGTTTTTGCGTGCGCGAGTAAGACTAGAAAAAAATTCAGGTAATTCCCTCAGGGTTCAAGGACAGCCTGCCACAGAATTAAATAAGCTATCGATTAGATTTTAAATCAATCAAATTATTAAATCAACTATGATTTTAATTGGAATACGGAGGTAATCAATTTACTAGTTACTGAACTAAATTTGCATAAATCGGCTGGCAGCACAAGTTTAAATAAGACCATAATCTAATATCGAAATAATTTAACTATTTTCCATCACATTTTGCAACAACGATAAAAACAGGCACCGGAACTAATTCATTATTTAATTGACACCAAAGATGTAAAAAGAATTTACCACACAAAAACTCGGTTTTTAGTAATTAACACTCATGTAACAGTTAAAATAATCCCATCGAGACTTAAGGTTTAAATCATTAAAATATTCCAATATTCCAATATGTTTAAGCATATCCAAGAGTCATATCTATAATAAAACACCTTACATGGGTCGCATGTGAATCGCATTAATTAATCTCCTACAAAAGCTGAACAGTTTACCAAATGAAACTGGATAACATGACTAGATGTAAGAAAATTTATCAGTCATTCGCATTTTCCACGACGATAAACTTCTAGAATTCTCGAATGTTAGTCGGTAAGAGGCACCCGTAAAATTACAGCATAATGCGTACATGGTAATAAGGAACGTGACTCAAACGAAAATTACCCGTAATTCATAATATAACATCTCGTGGGCTTAAACCCTGAAAATGGGATGACAGCCAAAATATTTGACGACACAAACATTAAAGCTTCTACGTTATTCTTCCTTAGCATACGCTTGTATTAACAGTTAATTACAAGCTTACATTGTACACGTATTGGAATATAATAGTTGATTAACATTTTATTAGTTAATTTATAGCACATATGCTTTTCTAGTAATGAACTATTACTGAAATAAAAGCATTGACGTCAATCGAATAATTCGATGAGTATGAAAAGATGTCCGGGGCTGTAGCATTGTTTGGCAGTGATAGAAAATTCCTGAGTAATCCCAAACAAAGTAAGGAAAGAGCAAGAAGCAAATCAGATATAGAAGTGTAACTGCCAACTGGGGGAGACGAGTCAGTGGTTTGGGGGCTCAATCCAGCGTGTATCGATTTTAGAATTTGAAATATGCACAAATTCTAAAATCTCTTTTTACTAGGGTGTCATAATATTCAACATAATCTCTGCATTTCCCTTCCTGTTACTTAGGGAAGAGTTAAGTTTAGCATCTCCGAATTAGGTTAAACATTTAGATTATCCCACCTTCAATTTTCTGAGAAAATTTAGGTAACTTCAGCATATATAACAGATTTTTAAATTTTTCATAGGCTTTGAATTATTCAATATACCATGAACTTTATCTGCATGATAATGCAAATTGAAAATTACACCCATAAATAATTCAAGACGTGGTAATGTCAAGTTTACAAACATTAAATCCAAAGTGGCAACTACAAATTAACATCTAAAATTTGATACAGAGTCCCCCTTCTTCACTGTGGTTACTTTAGTTTGGGCATGTATATTTGATCGGTTTCTGAAGGAACATATCATGCTTTCTTTACAAAGCAGAATATTGTGAAGCTTTTCAAAAAGTGCGCTCTTTCCGGGATGGACTTAATTAATCTTGTGTAAAAAGAATAGCCCCATTCGATTTTTTAAAAGCCAAATATTTAAACCACAAATCCCATAATATAGAGTTTTGTTTGAAACACGGAAAAATTCCAGCCACACATACATACTCTGGTGAAATAAATTCCAAGATATTATATAAGTTACAGGAATAATAAAATCTATTATAGAAACTATCCCTCTTAATAGCACACTAACACAGAACATCACACTATGCCCTATAGCACTATAAGCACTAAGCAACTATAGACTATATGCACTATAGCAAGAACTATAGCACTATAACACTATAAGCACTATAGCACTAATAAGCACTATAGCAAAGCACTCATCACCACTACGATAAAACGTGGTCCAATAAAACGGAGTTCGTGATCGATTCGGGCGATTTCCCTTTAGCCAATTAAAATCTCTCCTATAAGCTGCAGCTCAATCACCGTGGAAAATTCAAAAATATAGAAAACACGACGCTTAACAAGCTCATGTTTTTCATATTATTTGTTGTTTCCCCCCCCCCCCCCCCCCCCCCCCCCCCCCCCCCCCCCCCCCCCCCCCCCTCCGTATTGTTATGGGTTGCAGTGTAACTAAGATTAAACACAACCTGAGATATACTTTTATGTGGGTAATAGCAGCACTCCTTTGGGTGTAGGTGCTACCTATCTATGAGTTCTTTACTCTTTATCCTGTGTTGGAATCCGCTTCTTTGGGAATCAGTCTGCCATGAAATACTGCATCACATCGAAAGTTTTTCCCCAGAGAACCCTTGTTTATCTGCATGTATAGTTTTAAAAGTTATAGTTATTAAATATTAAATAATTAGTTATATAACATTCCTTAACTCGATCCTTACTTTTTTGGAAAAGACTACGCCTCGGATATTAGCGACGTATGGTTTGTATCGCCTTGTAACCAGATGTAGTTTTTATTTTTTTATCGTAAGTATAACCAAAAATGTGGAGGCTTCTAGAATATGACGTCAGTAAAAATAATTATTGTAGGGGGCTATAATATGCAGTTTGCGTAATGTCTCTGATATAGGTGCTCACTAACCCGGTAAATGTCGATTCAAGCAATATGTTTTATCCTTAAATTTTGAATTTAAACCCGAAATCTAGTCAGCTTCGAAATCCAATACTTCCGAAGTATACCCTACGAGACAAATTTAATTAAAAGGTACGTAATTCCATTTGCCACGGCGGTGAAATTTCGGGAGTGGTGAGGATAACAAATACCGGCGCTCTCTCATTCCGTCTGGAGGATTAAAGTCAAGTTAAAACTAACTTCGCCGGCGAAACTGTTATATAAGAGAAACAGCTTGTTACTTTTTTTTGTTAGAGGTGCCTAAACCTGGACTACACTGGAGAGAAAAAAAGATCAAAAAGAAATTGAACTTGTAATTAGTTTTCAAATTTTATTTTATTTGATTTTCTCAATATTGGGCTTTAATTTTGTGAAATAAAGAAAGAAAAAATTGCCCAAATACCATATGTTAATTTGGGGTACGAAATCGTGGTTTTCGGCAAACATCCCATATTTTTCCGTTCCCTAAATCATTCAGGTTCGAACCAGGAATTATGTGCAATATAATTATATGTCGCGTAAGACGTAAAGGTAGATACCCTAGATATTATGATATCAGTTTTCTTAGAATTTCTTGTTGACGCTGGTTGGAGTGAAGATGACATATTTTTGATTCGAATAAAGTTACATAATTATAACATATTATATTGTACAATAATCCCTTAGCCAATAACTTGTATGTCAGGGTCAGGGTCAGGAGTCAGGGTCAGGATCATGGTCAGGGTCAGGGTCAGGATCAGGTCAGGGTCAGGGGGGGTTTTTACCCCCCCCCCCCCCCCACCCCCCCCAGGGGGGGGGGGGGGTCAGGGTCAGGGTCAGGGTCAGGGTCCAGGGTCAGGGTCAGGGTCAGGGTCAGGTCAGGGTCAGGGTCAGTCAGGGTCAGGGTCCAGGTCAGTGTCAGGGTCAGGGTCAGGGTCAGGGTCAGTCAGGGGTCAGGGGTCATGGTCAGGGTCAGGTCAGGGTCAGGGTCAGGGTCAGGTCAGGTCAGTGTCAGGTCCGGAATGTACTGGTGCAGCACGATGGGAAACCTTGCAGTACTCATAGCGATTTGTTTAGACTTACATATTTTTATTAATCGGTAACTTTTATAGACAATTAAATTCACATCTAATCAATATTCTATATTAAACATATTAGTTTCTTAAGAAAAGATTAGAAAACACGCCGTTGTTTCATTGTAACAATCTGTTATTTAAAATCATTATTTTTACAAAAATTAAACTATTGAACTCCTCAGTTAATCTATGTCATTTTAATTCGGGCGTCTGATTACATCACTCCGATGAAGACACATCAGCTCTACATCGCTGCGTAACACAACACAATAATAAAAGATACACTACACAACACACGTGATTACTACATATTACCCCCGCATTTAATTACTACAAATGTAAAGTGATTTGGGTTAAACTGGCGCACGTTGTCTTAGACCATTATCACAGCATGCTTCAACAATACGCACATTAGCTATGAGAGAATATGAAGCTAAAACCGACACGTTAAATTTGCCAAACTATTATCTCATTAATTAATTACCTTATTTTATAATTTGAGGATTTGTCTATTTTATTGCGCCCATTTCTACATCATAATATTTATCCTGTTTTCTTTCTATATTTTATAAACCAGACTAAGACTCTCTCAAACAAGCTCCTTGATTCTTGAGTTTCCAATCGGAAGATAACTGTTAACGAATGCTTTACAATTTCCGCCAACAAATTTTTTATCCTCACAAAATACTCATATTAGACCATAGCAGCAGGGGCACCTGTTGAAAGTTTTCAAGAAACTTCCTAGATAACCCCTCCGTGCAGAGTGTAAAATAGTACTCTTAACAGTTAACCACAGCAACCAATACGTGATAAGGCAAGTGTTAGGGTTTTGGAGTATTTGTTTCCAACTATAACACGCCGCAATTGCGAAAACCTGCTTCCAAACTGTAGAGCTTCTAGCTTTCAATTCCTTTCATAATTTAACTGAGTAACCTGAATCTTGAAATTTTAGTCCAGCCGTGTATTTTTATAGTCAGGTACTTCAGGTACTATTCAAGTTGGTAATGATCCCCCCCCCCCTCCCCCCCCCCTATGATGCAACCACTATTTAACTCACCTGTCAGTTTGTAATTATCAATAACATATTTGCAAACGAATCGCGTTTGTGATGGACAAACTCCAAGTATTTCATAAACATTCCAATAATCCCAGTATATTAATATTTAGGCTGGATTCAGAATGATGGTATTATCAAAAAGTAAAATGTAAGCGCATAAGGAGTCCAACATTTCTTAAAAATTCCCATTATACAAAACCATTTTAGTATCGGAAATAGTATACCACGTGTGTGTATGTACTCAAAATTAGGAAACAGGGTCAACATGACACAGCAGCCCACGTACACGCTAATTATATACGCAATTAGTACACGCTAATTGCTTCTAATTACTGCAGGCCAGTTATAATTACAGCCTGTGGATGCTTTATGTGTGGGCCATCCAGCACGTTTTTAGTAAGTTACCAATGGGACCAAACGAAATGGGACTGCACAATTATACACAATGCTCACGTGCGTTAACTTAACACTATGTACGTTAATACAGTTTTAACCGCACTTTTTTGGCGGAAGCTCTAGAACATGGAAAAAGTGGTTCTATGGAAATGAAACAGCTGTTTTTTAGAAGCAAGGTTATTTCCCATAAATATTTTGTGTATGTGCCCCTTAACTTCGTATTCATTAGCCCCATGCTATGACGCCGCATAATATTAGGTAAGATAATATAATATGTACTATCAATGTAGACGACACGTACATATTTCATACCAAGTGCATTGAGGTAATGCACAAGGAGGCCCTTTTGTAACTTATGAAATTCAAAAACCCTGACTTTTGCTAAAGTAACAAACAATGAAGTAGTCCACTGATAAGCGACGCTTGAAGGCTAACGTATAATATTACGTCATTTTTTCAACATACAGTAGGACGAATTAAAAAAAGCTCAAAGTACTCCAATATCATTTGCTGACTTCCATGTTCCTCGTGATATTACATGTCTTATTTGAGGGTAACATTTATTTAATTGTAATTTTTTGGGGAGACAATGGAAGGAGCATGGACATCCTATAGTTCATCACATGATATTTTGAGCTCAACATGTGAGTGTGAAATTTGAATCGATATTTCTTGAAAAAATTAATCATCTGGTAGTGTTTCAGAGCATGGTGACAACCGAATCCACTGCACTGGTGAGGTAACTGAGAATTTGTTTGACTAAGTTATTGCGCATCTAATATGATTTTTGTCGAACTTCTCTGGAATAAGAAATAAATCAATGCAATAAATTATGGTCTTACATTTCACCGAAACTGCCGCAATGTATTCCTTTATTCGGGGCATTGTTTTAAATCTAGCGTTTTCCCAGAAGCTAAAAAAATCCGAAAAAGTGCTACACATATTATTTGGACCCAAATTTCATAGCTTCAGCGATCTATGCTTTATAAATTTCCTAAATTTTTTGATTGAAGAATGAATTTCAAATTTCTAAATCTTAAAACATTACACTTACGTGGTAGAGAGTCTGGTCCTGGGCTGAAAGCTTTTGTTACATAAGATATAAATATTCGGCATTACAACAATAACCCGATTCTGCTCCACGCTTCGATTATCTGAGAGAGAGATGAAAATGGCAGATCATGAAATTATTAAACAAATTCTTGATAAATAGGCCAAATGGAAAGTGCAACTTACACCGGCCAAGTAGCAGCCGGGCTTGTAAAGTCTGGACTACTATAGCCAAACGGTGATGTATATGATGTAATAATCTAGAATACCAAATATCCGCAAGTAACTAATCAGCTTCTTCCATCAGAGTTTCCGGGTTATATTATAATATTAACACCTTAATAACACCAGAATGTTGTGTGTGTGGTGGTGTCTGTCTGTCTGATCGTCTGTGTGTACTTTCTAGGTCGGTTATACAAAATACAACGGTAAGAGTTACGGGACTGGTTTTTTCGGTAAGTGCTGACAAAACCTCTATGAAGCCCAAAGAACTTTTTTTTAAATCGGCCCTTGGTTAAGTGGTTTAATTGATGTTTTTGTACCACAAAATACATAAAATTGCTTGAGCAGAACGGCAAGATTCCGGGGCTTGCTCTCTCTCTCTCATTACTGTATAATATGTTAGAGCTGCTTTTTAAGTAGCGTCATAATTGGATTAGCCCGGAAGATTCCGCTGTACTGTTAACCATAATAAGCTTATTAGGGGAGGGGGGGGACTGTAGTGTTTGGTATGTTTGGACTGCAGAGAGAGAGAGAGAGAAGAGAGTTCAACGACAATGTTATGCGGTTTTTTTCAAATATAGGCGGGTGGGTGCGGACTGCGGAGTTAACAAGGTTAATTTCTATAACGATTTAAATAAAAATGGAAAGCGTTCAAGACGGGAGTGATAGGTGTAATGTCCGGTGTCAGACCTGATGATCATGAAATGTGGTAGCCTCCGGCTAATATTGACTTAATTATTCCACAAAAACTAACTGATTATGAGATTATTGTTTCTAAAACTATTGGGTCACCTAATGCGGGTTTTGACTCTAGCCGGGTAAATACTCCTCCCTTTTTACCTGTTAAACACTATAATATTATAAACATGTAGTGTGAACAACTATCCAATGTATCTCGGAGTTAGCTACACCTCGGTGTTGGCTCACCTCGTGTTGGCTACACCCAGTTTGGCTACACCTCGTTGTTCAGCAACACCTCGGTGTTTAGCTTCACCTTCGGTAGTTAGCTACACCTCAGTTGTTAGCTACACCTCGGTGTTAGCTACACCTCGGTGTTAGCTACACCTCGGTGTTAGCTACACCTCGGTGTTAGCTTCACCTCGGTGTTAGCAACACCTCGGTGTTAGCTACACCTCGGTGTTAGCTACACCTCGGTGTTAGCTATTGAGGATACCACCAGAATTGCAAGATCCGAGAAATAGGAATTGTAGAATATTTTCCACAACAAATTATAATAGATAATAGATAATAGATAATATAAACATACCTTGTCTCCTACCCATCCAGTTTCTAACATGGGCATGAAATAAGGCCATTTGCTCACCACTCCCTCGAACATTCCAGTCTTTATAAAGTAAGGATTTACCATCGTGAACTCTATCGGCAAATTCTGAAGGAAATATTCCACTTGTTAACAAACCATGCTGTAGCATGTTTTGCATGAAATCGGATTTTTTTAATTAATGAAAATGGAAATGGATTATTCAGAAGATGTTTTATTATTTTATAAGCGATAGAAAAACAGAAACAAATCAGAAAGGCGAAACCCAAGTATTTTCGCTGGCGGTGTTATTCACATACCTCTGCCATAATCTCAAATCTAAGAGCCTCGACAAGGCCCATTACAGCGAACTTGCTGCAACTGTAATCCACCAGCTTTATCGAGCCGAACAGTCCTGCTACAGAGCTAATCGTGGTCACGTGTCCGTACCCTGAAGATAATGTTTACAGATCTGTCACGTGTCAAACAAATATCAAGATCTGTATGTGAGAGTATTTAATGTCAGACTGATTGGCCAACCAAGCGGTCACTGACATTGGGTCCAAACTTTGGAACATCAATCTCGTTGATCTGGGGATCTATTACATTTCAGACTTCTTATCAAACGACCATAGTACCTTCATCGACTATTGTAACATCATCATGGGGGGACACGGGGGTATCCGGTAAACATGTCCTACTTTTAACGTTTAAAATATTGAATTTGTTGATCCTAATATTACACTTTCGTTTTTAAAGTCAGCAGCTGGGTAAGTTAAAGGGAATAAAATTCGTGTGTACAGTGTACACTGTACACACGAGTAAAAACATTTGTCCAACCAGCTTTTTTATTTCTGTCAATTCAATGGGTTATAGATTTAAATAGTCACCCAATAGACGGAGCAGTCGTTTTAAGAAACATTTCCTACACAGCCTCAATAAACTTTAATTTGATACAATTCCAATACAAACTTTTGCTTTCGTGTAGGTGTATTATATAGTTATATTATATGAGACAAAAGGAGATTGTTACGGATACTGTATTGTGTATTGTGTAGTCTTTGTCACACCTACTTAGAAACTATGCCAGGCATCTATCTGTACACACGCAAATAGTTTCCTTAGTATGCTTGAGGATTTCATCAAAACGGAAAGTTTGACTACATAGATCCTAATTAAATTTTCTTTGTTTGGAATCACAAATTTCATAAACCGTGAACTCCCTCAATATTGTTGCAAAGTGGTATACCGTATATTATCAGCAAACGATTTCTGGAAGGGGAAATTCCTACTTGGGAGGGTTACATCAAATATTCAAATTACTTCAGCTGGAGATAGATCAGATCGAAAAAATGCTATGGAGTTGATCTTGGCCGAGGGGGCACACTGGCACAGTGTGCACAGCTACAGTCCATTTCATTATTGCTAACTACAGTAAAACCCTGATTTAGACAAGTAGTACGGCGGATCGGGTAATTAACAAGAAATGCGGTCGCTTTTCTTTTGTGGATAGCCACTCAATTTCCTGATCCGTGATGGCGTATTTTATCATATTCCATACAACCTGGGGACCACAGTCTTTACTGTTTATAAGCATGCAGATATGGCGGAGTGACAGGCCGAGCGCCGCCCAGTTAATATAATTGAATTTGAAAATCGTGTATATTTTTATGTAACCATATGTTTATTGTTTATGCAACCTGACACGGATATGTGCAAAATAGTAATACTAACTCAAAATAATAATAATATGCTATTAATTAGTGCCTAGTGTGATATGTACATTACATGGATATGTACAATCATTACATGGTGAAATTAACAATGTACTTGGTCAGTTCAGCGCCCGCGCCAACAATTATTTAATTCAGATTATCGCGCAAAATAACCTCGGCACTTTGAGTCACGGATGGGGGAAAAATGTATCACGAATATGACCACGGTTATAACGGGGCACGTGATGTTGGCCAATTCGTACTGAGGCTCCCCCCCCCCTCCCCCCTTCCCGTACTGATAATCAGAGTATTTCTTGTTAAAATTGTTTAAATCTCATTCCATATTGGCATGCATGTGAGCTGAATTTGGCATTTTTACAATTTTGTATCTATCTTCTAACGTAACCCGTGATATTGACTATTATATCTTCTTTCCAAACCGATACAGAATTTCCTGCCAAGCAGATGTATTAAAATATATCAACATGTATTGCACGACTGTTTGCATTTTTGTTCTATTAACTTATTCTGTACACTGACCAAAGTACTATTTGAAGGTTCTAGGTGTTAAATGAAGTATGAAAAGAATGTCTATCTTAATAAAGAAGGTTTGGTTTATGTGGTTTACTACAAAGTAGCTACTTATGTAACAGACAGCACCTACTATAAGTGTCGGTCTAGTGGCCCAGATATTCTGGAGTGTTGTGTTAATAGCATAATCTCCAGAAGACAAGGCCTGGTACCAAGACAAAGCCTGGTACCTGGAGGTATTAACTCCGAGGAACTACAACCTCCAGGGACTATGTGTACTATGTGTAGTGTGTACGTGACTACGTGTCGTGTATAATAATGGTACACATAATGGTACACATCACAACATACTGTACATTTCGTTACGCCTGCTATATAATGTAGTGGTGACTGGTGGGAGCATTTTGTATGGGTAATTCAGTAGTTACACTCAATTGATCGCTAGATATTATCAGTAGCTCTCATAAATCCAAGTAGGTACTTACCATGTAGTTATGTAGTAGGTACTTACCAAGTAGTAAGTACTTACCAAGTTTAGTGGGTACTTACCAAGTACTTACCAAGAAGTAGCTACTTACCATGATATTGTATAGATTATTACGGATTACCAAGAAGTTAAGTATGTACTTACCAAGCTCTCTCATGTCTTCTAGGAAAGTCTGGGTCACCCAGAAAACAGCCAACACGTTCACATCCATCGTCCTAAAACAAAATATATTATCAGTATAATGCAGAAAATATTAAATATATAACAACAAATTCCAGCCAATCCCGGATCATAACTAAACCCGACCTGCTACCTTACTCCTAACAATTAACATACACTGAGCCAAAACCTTCTTAACTTTAGTGACACTAGAAAATCAGTTTTCAAATTAGAAATTAAAAAAAGAGGAACTACTTAGTATCACTTCGAGATGGCCAGGCCTACTCTCATGCTGTCTATATGTGATGATTAACTCTGAAAAACTAGGGACAACTGGGGAATGATCCCAGAACCTCGAGATTTCGCGTCTCTTGCTCTACCAATTGAGCTACTGACCCTGATTCTCAGAGCGAAATCACCACTCATATACAGCACAATTTCATGCTTTGTGTGGAATATCATTTATCAGTTATTTAGAATATATATTCGCATTTATCCACACTATATTTACATTACACGTACAACGTGATATCGTTATCAGTGCAGTGTGTACAACACCAACTACACCGATCAATTGCCAATCTGCGAAACATTTTAATTATTATTATCACTTCGAGATGGCCAGGCCTACTCTCATGCTGTCTATATGTGATGATTAACTCTGAAAAACCAGGGACAACTGGGGAATGATCCCAGAACCTCGAGATTTCGCGTCTCTTGCTCTACCAATTGAGCTACTGACCCTGATTCTCAGAGCGAAATCACCACTCATATACAGCACAATTTCATGCTTTGTGTGGAATATCATTTATCAGTTATTTAGAATATATATTCGCATTTATCCACACTATATTTACATTACACGTACAACGTGATATCGTTATCAGTGCAGTGTGTACAACACCAACTACACCGATCAATTGCCAATCTGCGAAACATTTTAATTATTATTATCACTTCGAGATGGCCAGGCCTACTCTCATGCTGTCTATATGTGATGATTAACTCTGAAAAACTAGGGACAACTGGGGAATGATCCCAGAACCTCGAGATTTCGCGTCTCTTGCTCTACCAATTGAGCTACTGACCCTGATTCTCAGAGCGAAATCACCACTCATATACAGCACAATTTCATGCTTTGTGTGGAATATCATTTATCAGTTATTTAGAATATATATTCGCATTTATCCACACTATATTTACATTACACGTACAACGTGATATCGTTATCAGTGCAGTGTGTACAACACCAACTACACCGATCAATTGCCAATCTGCGAAACATTTTAATTATTATTATCACTTCGAGATGGCCAGGCCTACTCTCATGCTGTCTATATGTGATGATTAACTCTGAAAAACTAGGGACAACTGGGGAATGATCCCAGAACCTCGAGATTTCGCGTCTCTTCGCTCTGAGAATCAGGGTCAGTAGCTCAATTGGTAGAGCAAGAGACGCGAAATCTCGAGGTTCTGGGATCATTCCCCAGTTGTCCCTAGTTTTTCAGAGTTAATCATCACATATAGACAGCATGAGAGTAGGCCTGGCCATCTCGAAGTGATAATAATAATTAAAATGTTTCGCAGATTGGCAATTGATCGGTGTAGTTGGTGTTGTACACACTGCACTGATAACGATATCACGTTGTACGTGTAATGTAAATATAGTGTGGATAAATGCGAATATATATTCTAAATAACTGAACTACTTAGTACTTACAGTCAAATTAGAAATAAAAAAACAGGAAATACCTACAGTAAGTAATACTTACAGTTTGATGTCAGCAGGTGTGAGGTCTCGGAAGAGTTTACCAGAAACCACGCCAGCAACGTTGAACACGTACGACACTTTTCCTACATCCGCTAAAGTCTGAAATGCAGACAAATTCATTGAACTGAATTTTTTAAATATCACATTTTATTAAAACGGTAATCAAACTGTATATCGACATACACAGTATCTCGACAATTATACCTAATCTTATTCAACTTTCTACCTTAATTTTATGTAGTTATACACTTATTTTATGATTTAAAGTAATGATATAATATGTTAAATGTACACATTACACAATAATATCATCAATGTATAGATTCAAACAAGATTGCTAATACAACTGAGGTAATCTAATTAAAACATGTAAAACATGTTGGACAGATTTTTATCTTCGAGTAACTTAATGAAAATGGTAATTTGAGTAATCATTTTTCGCGCATGAATTCGATATTTAATAGAGGGTCAGTGATAAAAAACATGCCACAAAAACTTAATTTTAAACATTTCAAGACTGTAATTACGAATGAATAGTAACAATAACCTGCTCATGAAGTTTGACGACATTTTCATGGTTAGCCACGTTACAGCAGTACCCATGCGCACGGCCCCCAGACTGCACTATTTCGCGCACTGCGGGATATTATCTTATCTATTACTATAATTACTATTAATTATATTATCTTAATATGGTGCATCCTTGTAATACTATTGGTCATTGGTGGATAACATTAAGTTTCTGTACTACCAGTGTTAACAGAACTTGGAGTTATAATTATAATATATCGAGACATTATCAAGCAGATCTATAATTATTAATTATTAATTATATGCATACTCTATAGAAATAGCAGCAAGTGAAATCCAGGTTATATGGTAATATTGGTGTAAGGGCAAAAGTGCAAAAGTGCAAAAGTGCAAAAGTGCAAAAGTCTACCTGTCTGTTTATTCGCCTCATCGTTGATATCAATACAGATTATCGTGTTCCCCATTGCAGCCAACTTGATAGCTAAATCTTTACCAATACCACTACCTGTACAAAGAGCTAAGTTAATAATCAGTTTCAAATTTAAAATGTAAGTACAAATGTTTTGGACAAAACTAAATCAGCAGCTTTTGGGGGTAAGAACTGTCTTATGTTATCTTGGTTGTTCTCTCGAAGAACCTAGACCAAATTCCACCACATAATTGGAGATGAGGTGCAGGTTCATAGATAAGCAGAGGGTAGGCCGGGGTAGGCCGGTAATCACTGTCATATCATATTCAATAAATTTTCCTGGTACCCATAGAGAAATTCTTATCAGCTGATTTGCCTCCAAAATGCCGAGCAATTTTAATGAACTGATATCATTTACCATTTACCGTCTCTTCTTTATTCAAATTTCTATCAGTCCTTAGTACGTTTTGGAGCTTTGTTTTCTTTCGAAACCATTCACCATTATATTTTAGGTTTCTCGCTTCTACAGAAATAATGTTTACGCGACAGTTGTTGTTGACGTTGTTCTTGTGTCACTGCTCTGTAGCTCACGATCAGGAGAGACGCCTCCCACCCTCAAGTGACCATGCGATAACCGAGATGAGACTCAACTTTAAGGAGGAGATGCTCAATTTGAGGGAAGAGGTAAGGAATAATTTATTTTTTATGGTTTTAGAGTGAAAAATTTAAATTTCACCTAGAATTTATAACAGGAATTAACTAAAATGTAAAAAGTTTATCGAATTTCTGTAATTAAAGATAGCGTAGCCTAGTATAGCTCCTTTAAATACAATATAATATATTATATAATAAACATCATAATCAGGTACAAGATATATTGGGAGGTTCTGAAAGATCACTTTTTTGGATGATCAGGGAATTAATTGACGAAGTCAGAGAATATAAGGCCGAGGTAGTACAGCAAGACAAAGTGGTGGAACAACTTAAATCAGACCTAACTACAGCTCTATACAAACTGGATGAAGTCAAGGAAAACCAGGTGATGCTGAAAAAGGGATATGATGTGGTACGATCTGAAGTCAGGCTAATATCTCAACACAAGCTGAGCTGGCAAAACACCACTGCCAGTTACAGAACAGCCGACTTCTTAGTGGACGGGGTTTACACCAGGACAACAGACGAAACCATCAACCCAATACAACACAACTTAGCTGGGGTAAACCAGATAGTCTCCATTGATCTGGGAGGTTTCTTCAAAATACACACCGTCAAGATCTGGAACAGACTGTCTTCCTACCAGGAGCGAGGCTCGGGTCTCATAGTCTCCGCAGACCGGGTAATTATAGGTGTTACGTCAGGGTCACGTGATTTGTACAGCGTCGTGGCCGAAACTGAGGTTTACGCCAGAACGATCACTATTAGACAACCAAATGAGGAACACATCAACCTTCTTGAGGTTCAAGTGTTTGGTTCTGGTCCTTATGGTCCGGAGGAATTTGTTTAGAACTTTAGAAGTGAGGGGGATACATACAAGAACTAAATCTAAACATTAGACTATTGAGAACGAAGTAAGAAAGGATTCATCTAGGCATTATTTTCTTGAAACCTGGTTTTGCATTGATTTAAGTAATTTGTGAGTTAACAGAAATTCGATTATATAGCAGTTTTATTGTACAAGACTAAAACAGTTAATTGGCATATGATTTTAAGTCACAATATAGGTTAACATTCCAAGTTAATTTATTTTTTACCGCCACGTTTTATGTTAAAGAAAATCTTGTGGTAATTCCTCTGATAGCCAGATAATAGCCAAAAAGTTTGATCACTTATATCATCTATCTTATTGCATTTGTTATAATTATCGTCGTGTTTCCATAATTTGTTATAAATTATCCTCGTGTTTCATTTTGATCAAATTAGCTGTGCAGGATTGGTAGAAATATGATATAATATTATTAGCTGTGCAGGATTGGTAGAAATATGATATAATATTATCAAACACAACCTAACAATAACTTGAATAAAACTAACCTGTTCCAGTTATGAGAATGTTCTCATTACAGATAACTTTACTGTTTCTGTTGACAAACAGATAAGCAAACGCCCAGAACCACTCGTATATACCGACCTTGTAAAGCGTGAACACATCCTTTATAAAGGTGACACATGCCGCTATAAAACTTTTCACACACATACCTTGAGGGAATTTGTGGAATTTAGAGTCAATTAATTAAGTTAAGTAATTAGAATCTTTTTAATTTTAAACTTAATAAGGTTAGTGAAAATATCTGTTGATTTTGTAATTTAACTGTACGATTTACATGTTTATCAATTGGGATGGCAATTAATTTGCCACAGTATTAATTACAGAAAGTTTGATTTTTATGAAGCGAAGGAAACGATAATAAGATATATATAAGCTGAACTATTATTTACAAATAAATTAAATATTTTATGATTATATCCTAACATTGAACACAATTAATGAAAAATATGTATATAAATCTGACGACCCGTCATATCCCTTAAAAGTGATGAACCTGTTCATGTTATATTATATAATCCTGTATCTGACTGAAAAGCCGCACAATGTTTTGAGTATACGAGGTTTGTGATGTTATTTGGGTTTATTGGGGTCTATAGATCAAAAAAAAATTGGGTAGACAAAAAGTTATGTGTCCACCAGGTCTGTGGCCACGCCCTTTTATATGATCGTGGGAAAATCTTACCTTTTCCTAATATAAATTCATATTTGCTCAATCAAAGCAAGTAGGGTATCAAAACTAATGTTTTTTGACCCAAGAAATCGATTGGTGACATCTATTTGACTTTCAGACCACTCCCAGATAAGATAACCACGCCCATATTTACAATTGAGCGTAAAAATTTCCAAAAATGTAAGCAATTTTTTTGGGCAAATTGGGTGTTGAGACCTATGTTTTTTGACCCAAGAAATCGATTGGTGACATCTATTTGACTTTCAGACCACTCCCAGATAAGATAACCACGCCCATATTTACAATCGAGCGCCAAGAATTCCCAAATACTCATATGGATCTGAAGACATTCCCGTCTATATAACTTCCGGCCCGGGGTTTGAGACTTGGAATAGCTCAAGTGACCCATCAGAAACAAATATGGCCTGGGTAGAAATTGTTACTATGGTGCCGTTTTGCGCAATTGACCACGCCCTTTTTTTGGCACTTTTGCGACTTTAAAATCAAAATAACTCCGCTTCTAATTGGAATTAAAAGCTCAACTTGGCTTTGAAGTTGTTCAGAATCATCACATTTAGGGGGGTAGAGCATATTTCTAAAGTCACTAGACATCAGGTTGTTGAGTTATATGACCACACCCTTTTTTTCTCTCGAGAGTCATAATTTGCACACTTAATACGAGATATCTCGGCTTCTGATTGAGCTAGGTGCTTATCCGGGGCATTAACTTGTTCAAAATCATCAGTTTAAGTAGGGTAGAGCATAATTTCAAAGTCCTCAAAGATCAGGTTGTTGAGTTTTTTGGCCAAAACCTATTTTTACGCTCTTGCGAGTAGCAATTGCAGCGCTTAAAATTAAAATTACTCAGCTTCTGATTGAAGTTAGGAGCTAAACTCGGGCAGCAAAATGGTCAGAATTATGATATGGAGTGGGGTAGAACGTGGTTTCAAAGTCCTCAGACATCAGGTTGTTGAGGTATTAGGCCACACCCTATTCTTACGATATCGCGAGTAGCAATTGACACACTTAATACAAAATATATCGGCTTCTGATTGGAGTAAAGAGCTAAACTCGGGCAGCAAAATGGTCAGAATTATCATATTAAGTGGGGTTAAGCATAATTTAAAAGTCCTCAAACATCAGGTTGTTGAGTTTTTTGGTCAAAACCTATTTTTACGCTCTTGCAAGTAGCAATTGCAGTGCTTAAAATTAAAATTACTCAGCCTCTGATTGGAGTTAGGAGCTAAACTCGGGCAGTAAAATGGTCAGAATTATCACATTAAGTTAGGTTTCAAAGTCCTCAGTCATCAGGTTGTTAAGTTGTTAGGCCACACCATATTTCTAAGCACTTACTTGCAACAATTACAAAACTCATTAAAAGGTATCTCGGCTTCTGATTGGAGTTCGGTGCTTAGCCTGGGCATGAAGATATTTAGAATTAGAGCAGTAAGGGGAGTAGAGGCTAGATCATGGTTCTACCTGATGTCTGTGTACTCTATTCAATGCGAAGCTTTGATCATTTTAATGTCCAAGATTAACACTCAACTCCAACCAGAAGCGGAGATATCTTAGTATTTCATTATGAAATGCTGTTATCACAAATGCGTAAACTACTAATACCACTACTACTATGTCAGAACTAAGTCCGATCTACGCCAGATAACCCCCTCCATACATCCCTGTCCCGCATCAAGGTTCGCAGTTCATCTTTAGAGTTTGTCGGTTGTCCCAACTACCTTCAGTAACATAGACAAGTAGCTTTGTCTTGGTCGCGTAAAGGTTATGGTCTATTAACTCATAAACTTGATACCAGAGGACTTTGAGATTACTTCTCATGTGATAGTTCTGAACATAATAAGCATGTTAATGGCCAAATTCAGCTTCGAACAAGGCCTGACCGAGGCCGAGGAAAAATCGCTATTCCTCGGTAAAACCGAGGCCGAGGCCGAAGACTCGGTCGACACTTGGCTTCGAACTCCGATCAGAAACCGAGTTATATTGATTTTAAGTGCTATAATTGCTACTGGCGAGAGCGTTAAAATAGGTTTTGGCCAAAAACCTCAGCAACCTGATGTTTGAGGACTTTTAAATTATGCTTAACCCCACTTAATATGATAATTCTGACCATTTTGCTGCCCGTGTTTAGCTCTTTACTCCAATCAGAAGCCGATATATTTTGTATTAAGTGTGTCAATTGCTACTCGCGATATCGTAAGAATAGGGTGTGGCCTAATACCTCAACAACCTGATGTCTGAGGACTTTGAAACCACGTTCTACCCCACTCCATATCATAATTCTGACCATTTTGCTGCCCGAGTTTAGCTCCTAACTTCAATCAGAAGCTGAGTAATTTTAATTTTAAGCGCTGCAATTGCTACTCGCAAGAGCGTAAAAATAGGTTTTGGCCAAAAAACTCAACAACCTGATCTTTGAGGACTTTGAAATTATGCTCTACCCTACTTAAACTGATGATTTTGAACAAGTTAATGCCCCGGATAAGCACCTAGCTCAATCAGAAGCCGATATATCTCGTATTAAGTGTGCAAATTATGACTCTCGAGAGAAAAAAAGGGTGTGGTCATATAACTCAACAACCTGATGTCTAGTGACTTTAGAAATATGCTCTACCCCCCTAAATGTGATGATTCTGAACAACTTCAAAGCCAAGTTGAGCTTTTAATTCCAATTAGAAGCGGAGTTATTTTGATTTTAAAGTCGCAAAAGTGCCAAAAAAAGGGCGTGGTCAATTGCGCAAAACTGCACCATAGTAACAATTTCTACCCAGGCCATATTTGTTTCTGATGGGTCACTTGAGCTATTCCAAGTCTCAAACCCCGGGCCAGAAGTTATATAGACGGGAATGTCTTCAGATCCATATGAGTATTTGGGAATTCTTGGCGCTCGATTGTAAATATGGGCGTGGTTATCTTATCTGGGAGTGGTCTGAAAGTCAAATAGATGTCACCAATCGATTTCTTGGGTCAAAAAACATAGGTCTCAACACCCAACTTGCCAAAAAAAATTGCTTACATTTTTGGAAATTTTTACGCTCAATTGTAAATATGGGCGTGGTTATCTTATCTGGGAGTGGTCTGAAAGTCAAATAGATGTCACCAATCGATTTCTTGGGTCAAAAAACATTAGTTTTGATACCCTACTTGCTTTGATTGAGCAAATATGAATTTATATTAGGAAAAGGTAAGATTTTCCCACGATCATATAAAAGGGCGTGGCCACAGACCTGGTGGACACATAACTTTTTGTCTACCCAAATTTTTTTTGATCTATAGACCCCAATAAACCCAAATAACATCACAAACCTCGTATACTCAAAACATTGTGCGGCTTTTCAGTCAGATACTTGATTAATATTAGTTACAACTGCCCGGCAGTATCAAATAAAGAAATAATAACCTTAAAACCGTTATTCATCTGAAACGTCTGACTCTGAATTTTATGTACAATTTTTTGTACATAACATAATTTACAATATCTTAAATAACTAAAAACTGTATTGCCATGCTTCCTTTCAAATTTTCAAGATTTAATCAGTCCCAGTGGCCCATCTGCATCAGTAAACATGTACATATTTATCGTGAATGAACTTCAAAGATATAAATTCTATTGCCGATCGATCTCGATAACTTTATTAGTATCAATAGATACCAAAAGTAAGTAACTAAATGACAACAATTTACACTGAACCCTCAATCCTCATACAGCAGATATCTCAAAGAAATCAACAAGCGTCTCAAGCTCGTAGTTATCCAGAACTTCCAGCAACATCGGAACTTTACTCTTCACATTTAGTCCCTTAAACTTGAACTTGTCAATGTAAAGATCTGTTATCATGCCATACAACCTCTCCAGATGACAGGGCTGGAGTTTGAAGGCTGCTTGAAGCTTATCTGCGTTCTGTATAATGTCCTTGTACTCCGGGGAGAGAAAGTCCAAGTTTGGTTCGTGCATGGAAAGTTCCTTCAAAGCATCAATCAGTTGAACTTTCTTAGCAAGGAGAAGCTGCTCGTCTAACTTAGGATGTATTAGTCTAAGTGAATGGGGGATTGACTCTTCATTCAGCTCGTATGTAATGTTCACAGCAATTTTCCTCTGGGTAGCTAACTTGGTGATGACGTCCTTGAGAATGGAAATAGTGCTGATGTTATCAGATCTGAACTCAACTGCACCTTGTCTGTAATTACACTCTAACTGAGTGTCCAGGAATGTACTCTGAAAGAACATCGTTATAGACTCCCCAGAAGGACACTTGTCAGGCACCTCAGGGATACAATATCCAATCCAGGAATGCACCTCACCAAGACTGAACTTACCGCTCAGCTTCAAGGTGTTCATGGGACGTTCACTGTCGATAATGTGGGTACGGCGATGAAGAGAAAGAGGTTTGATCTGGTATTGCTTAAGTTGACAAGTCTTTGGTTGGATCCTGGGGGTGATGTACACTTGTAGTGTACCGTATTGTCCCTCTATAGACCGCACTTTTACATCCAGTCTGGTAGTGTTAGCTTGGCATCTGTATGTTGCGAGGAGGTAGTTCTTATCCTCTGGATCACATGCACTGTGGCTGACTACAGCTGAATTCCTTTCCACGTCTAGCAGATCTATGGGCACGTCACATTGCAGCAGAACGTTCTCGATTGGCATCTGAATTTCTATTGATAGCAGATAATTAGCATCGACCGGGTTTAAAGTGAACTTATCATTAACATGGAACTTTACAACCGCACTGATAGCAGAATCCGAACCGGCAGACTTTTGATACTTTTCACGCTCGGCCAGAACTTGTCGCTTGAGATCCTCAATATCTTTCTTCAGATCATCTAGCTTCGTCTTGGCAGAGGGTGATATAATGTTCTGTGCAACGTGAGACTTTACCTGGGATGTCAAACTGATCACGTGCCCAGGGTATGTTGCTACCACTACATCTGCATGTCCAGCAGATGTGATCAGTCCTGCTCCGATTGATGTGATGGATTCTGAAACATTCTTTGAGGTTATCAATTTGGGTTGGCCTTCCGAGATAGAGTAGACTTCGACAGTACCATCATCTCTTGCAATCACCAATTCAGACACCCCATCGTTGTTTACATCGTATGTGTCAATTGCAGTGATTCCTCCTAGATTATTTGAGTTTGCTATTTCCCATCTGTGGCAGGGATTGTCTTTATTGACAGTACATAGACCTATGATCCCATCTTTTGTGCCATATATGAGATTATTGTGTCCGAAGCCACTCATAATATCAAATAAAGCTAAAGTTTCAGGCGAACCTGGAACTTCTGCTTCGTAGAGCAGCTCACTTCCTGATAACACTCTCAGTACCCTATCCTGACATCCTAAAACTGGGAAAATATCCTTGCCAGAACCAGGAATACCTATCATGTCGTTAATCTTATCACAGGATAAGTAGAAGTGTGTATCCTGACAATTAGTGTACATGTTGTAGATATACTGGCCCGTTATATGTAGATCAGGTCCTGAAACGAACATAGATTTAATGCTGTCACTCAGGTTGGTTTCAAACATCAGGAATTGCTTTCCGCGCTTTGTGAAGCCCCGCACTTCTGATCCGGAGGATACGAATATCTTTTCTTGTAACGATCCCTTGGCTCCTCCCAGCTCCAACCTTTCTACTTTAGGACCAGGCAGAGTTTTGAAGTCTACAACAGTTTCACTGCGCTTCATCTGAAAGCAGGTTAAAACTCCACTGTGGTCGGCAACCGCAACACGCTGAACCATCTTTTTTGCATTTGGAGGATTTGGAAGGACTTTCATGGACTTCATGGAAGTAGATCCGACGGTCATGAGATCAATACGGGATAGCTGGAACTCCATGATTACGTCCCTATCTGAACAGAAAGGTAGATTAAAAAGGGTTTAATAATTCATTAACATCATACGGTAGTTATATAAATTTAAAAGAAATGTCATGAAGATTTTCCACGAACTAACAGGAACGATTGATCAAGGACCTTTTATGATCTAAATGATCGAACAGCTTTCAAATTAGAGGCCGGGTAAAATTAAAACTTTGAAAATAATGAGAAGTAAGAGAATGTGCGAGAGAGTGACATGTCACATTATATAGTGAGCTGCGAGAGCCGGAAATAAGTGAGAATTGTAAAATGTAAAATACTGATAACGCAATTTGAACTAATCGTTATCGAAATATCAAACAGCTAATGTCCTGAATAGATAAAATCCGGTCTTGGAATATTATTCATGAGAAATGTTTTCTTGGGTAAATTTCTATTGATCCCGTTTGATGCGACAAGGAAAAGGCTCTTATCAGGAAAGGAATTATTCAACATTTCAATGCGACATCGTATTCATGATATAAAAATATTTCTATCAAAAATTGAAAACGTAAAAAACATAAATCTGAATCAAAATTAGTGTATAATTATTTTCAATTCTTTTTTTTATATTTCAAAATTCAAATAAACTTTACATCAATGTATTACAGTTATATTTATAAAAGACCACAATATCTCCTGTGAGGCAAAAACATTGAAAGTGAGAGCTAGAAAAATATTCCTAAGACTCAACACTACCAGACTACAGCTGGAGCTGAGAAACATTATGTTAACATCATAGTAAAATTCATTTCGGCTGATCCAAAACACGGTGGTAAAACCATATTAATTACATTGGTGCCGATGTTTCAAATTCTGTATTTTATGTAGGGTCGGCCCGACCCTACATAAAATACAGAATTTGAATCATTAATAAATAATCAAGAGAACAAATTAAAATGTATACGATACCTTCTTGCTACTACTCCACAGACGTACACGACATATCAACAAAACAACATAATTGTATATTATATTCAATAAACTTTATCCAAAAATGCGATACAAAAAGTCATAACAAAAATTAGTTCATACGACGACAAACTTTTATAGCAATAACGTACACTCCTAGAAGTACTACAAGACTAAATATACTACACATGATTACAAAAGCGTGGAATGCTACAACGGTGAACAAGCTAGATGATGTGAAGTGTGTAGGTATGTATCTAGTGTGACGCGAAATGGCGGGAATGGTACTGACCAATGAGAAGTGCAAAACGTGGGAGCCAAATATGGTTTGATTAAGGAGTAGAGGTAGTGTGTTAAATGCGAGGCGGAAGTGTGCGTGTCCTGAATAGAGATAACAGCTGGGCTTAATAACTCTTGAAAAAGAAAACGTAAAATATATGCTACAAAATCGAATGCCCTAAGTGTTGTAGAAATAAAGCAGTTAAAATCCAAATAAAAAACTTACATTATGATTATTCTCATTTTATCTTTTTATCGGTCCCAATCAACATTTAAAAAACACGTGACCGTAAATTTTACTTTTCAAAAAGTAGCTGAATTCCGAAGCTGAACATTTTTATGACATAACGTACACTCTGAGTGTTAAATACGAGAAGGAGCAAAGGTATAACAAGGCAAAACTTTAAACTCAATATTGACATTCCATTGGAATATAACATCATATTATAGAGTTTAACCAAGGCATAACATAATAACCCTACCAAGGCAGTACCAATCACACAGACAGGTATGATTATATCCAAATAGTATATTTCTGCCATATTCTGTTGTTTTGTAACTGCATTCACCAAATAGTCCACATTCCCAAACTCAGCCACTTGCTCCACGTAAAACACGAGGTTCTCCCTCACATTACCCGGCTCATTCTCAACTATATCAAGCTTTCTTCATATTCCCATGATATGTTCCATGATCAGTGATCATTGAGGTAACTACTTCTCTAGCTCGATACGGGATATCCTCCTTCATCAAGCTCTCTCCAAATCCTTTGAGCTTGACTAGCTCTGCGTTGATGAATTGGTCAGCAAACTGGGGAATACACAACGCAGGCACATTGTAGAAAATAGTCTCCAACCTACCGTTGTTACCGCAGTGGCTGACGAAAACTTTTACTTTTCCTGATCTTAGGAGATCTTTTTGGGGTGCCCAATCAAGCGGTAAAACAGATTCAGGGAATATTTTATCACAATATTTATCTACTTTAACTATTACTCTTAGATCGAGTTCAATAAGGATGTTTATGAGTTCAGAAAACCAGGGAACATCACTCATCTTTGCATATGATCCAAAAGAGACGTAAATAACATCCTTTCCGACTGACTCCTCTAAAAACTGAACAATTTGAGGGGAGAATTCTATAGGAGCATGTTTACTTTCCAAAAGATTTGCACACCCTATAGGGATATCATTTGGGGGGCGAAGAAACGGGAAAGTGAACGCAGGATGGTCGTTAGTAAGATACAATTTTACTGAATTTTTAACATCTCGTAAACTGGAGAATCCAAACTTTTCTAAGAAGGGCTGCATAGCTTCAGCCCCTGACTGGATAAAAGGCAAGAATATAAAAGCATCTTTTAACACTGATAGCTTCTCTGTAAATGAAGGAGATCGATGGAATCTGTGATTCAATAGTAAAGAGGGTTGACTGAAAACCAACATTGGGAGGTTATTATGAAGCAGTGCCAGCTCTATCATGAAACTAGGCTCGTAATTTACAACAGGGACATTTGTAACGGTACCAAGCAATGCCAAACCAGTATTTTCAACCTTCTCCCCTAGAATAACATCAAACTGAGTTCTGCTAAACATATCCAACACTTCCTCCCCTGAGAAAACTCCAGCAGATCTCTTCCAAACCTCTCTCCATACCTCAATGCAGCTAGGTCCAAACGCTTCCAATGCATAGCCACTGTCACCTTTCATAACATCTGCTATACAATCCTTCCACATCATATCTTCATCTTGACTGTCCCACACCACAATATTGGCAACATGAATATTAGGATGTGGGACACACTTGTCCAGTCCTCTTGATACAATGTTTACGAAGGTTATGTTGTGTCCAGAATCTGCTAAGATAAGGGCAAGGTCGTAAAGAGCAGTAAGATGACTTCCACCAAGGAGGGATCCAGCGAAGATGTTGGAAGTGTGGGAGATGGGAAGGATAAGAAGGATGACACGAAGTAACATCCTAAGAAGTTGGTTAATGAAGCAAAGAAATACTCATCATGTAATTCGGAAATTCAAGGTAAGTCTTCCCAATTGAACGATCAGACAAGATGATGGATGTAAATCTTCAAAATAACTGAATTATATCTTGATAAAGCATCTGCTAAACATGTTATGAATCATTGTCAGTAGCACGTCAACCTAAGTTCCTAATTTGGAACTTGATCCACTTTCAACACTACTATATAACAAATAATTTGAGGTATGACACGAGGAGAAACGGCACGAAAACGAAATGTCAAGAAAAGTCCAGAGAAAACTGGTGCTACAGCGGATGTAACTGAAGATGAAGGAGACCGTAGTTGTGTATGCAGAAGGTATATCGCAGAGGAGTTTTCATTAGCTTGTGCAACCTGTGATATGTACTGGCATTATTGCTGTGTTGGACTGACAGGTCTGACACAAGAAGAAGGCGACCATCTGTCTAACTGGCGTTGTCAGAATTGTTTTATATCACCTTACATAAAAAGCAAAAGGACTCAGACCTCGAACCCTGATAATGAAGAAACAAAAATACTACGGAATGTTATTAGGCAGGAACTTGAGGCTCTTACACCTTGTATCAGAGGGGTTGTTGAAAACGCAGTGAACGAGAACATTCCAACTAACTTTGAGTCTGAAAAACCTAAAGAAATATCAAAGATAGTGAACCAGGCTTTCCAGTCCTTCGCTGATGTTACTGCAAATAGTCAGAAGAAAGTTATGGAAGAAATGAGCCTACAGCAAGCTTCACAAAGTGTTGTCAGTAAAGTTCAGACTAAGATGCATATGAGCGAAATTTAAGGAAGCTCAATCTGTGTGTTTTGAATGTACCAGAGAGCAAGAAAGCTAACTCCAAGTTACGCCAGGAAGAGGACTCGAAGTTCTGCAAGGAGACACTAAAGATTGAAAAAAGTGACTTTATCAGTTGCCATCGTGCAGGTAAAGTGGATCCAGGTAAGCCAGACTCCTGTCGGCCATTGATCATCCAGACAGCTGACGAGGAGTCAGTTAACTATTATTCCAACCATTGCATGGCAAGGGCTGGAAAGAGTCATCATACTGGATAAATCTGGATCTCTGCAGAGCAGACCGAGAGATCCGTTTTTTAGCCAGAGAAGAGAGGAAGAAGAGGCGGGAAGAAGCAGAGAAGGAAAAGACAGAGAAAAAGGTGGAGAAGAAGTAAATAGCAGTGATAAAGAATGTAGTCAGCCCATGAATATTTTTTATACTAATGCTAATGGACTATTTAATAAAATTGATGAACTAAAATGTATTCTATCAGTTTATAAATCCATTCATGTAATCTGCATTACAGAAACTCATTTTAATAGTGATATTTTAGATGCTGAAATTTTTATTGAAGGTTTTAATATGTTTAGAAAAGACAGAGATTTTAAAATCGATAACTCCACTAGCAACATAAGTGGAGGTGGAGGTTCTATTATTTATATTAAAAACAGTTGCAATGCTTCATTAGTGAGCTCATTTTTAAAAGCACCAGACTCTTAAGCTATTAATGTCAATACCTCTGGTGGATTGATTAGTATTTGTTGTATTTATAGGTCTACCTCTTTAAATTTAAAACAGAATAATATGTTATTATCTTGCATCAAGAACATATCTAGTGAAAAGAATGTTTTTGAAACCATTATCATAGGAGATTTTAACCTACCTAATGTATCTTGGGAAACTGGTAGTGTAAATAGTGGTATTTCGAGTAAGAATCAGGTTTTAATGATTCAACAAAAGTATATTGATTTATTTAATGACAGTGGTTTGACGTGGTACTTTACTAACGAAACAACCAGAAGACGGCTTGTGAAAGATACTCTCCAGGAGAGTCTTCTTGATCAGGTTTTGTATACAAATGATGCTCTTGTCAACGGTTGTAAGATCATTTCTCCGCTTGGCAAAAGTGATCATGTTGGGATACTAGTCGAACTGGTTGTTTCGCCCAATACTAACAAAAGTCCCAAACAAAAGATTTTAAAGCCTATTTGGGGTAAGATTTCCTCAGAAGAGTTATTTAACTTTAGTATGAATAATATTGACTGGGATTATAGTTGTACAAATAATGTTCAAGATATGTGGGTTGAACTACATGGTAAATTGGAGTCTGTTGCTGCAGCTGTCCCAGCTGCTTCGGTTTATCTCGACAACAGACCTGTCAAGTTGCCATGGAGTACAACTTCACTTAAAAGAATGAGGAAGAACAAGGACAGAGCATGGGCTGAATTTGATATTAATCCTTCGGATATTAACTTTAGCTGTGCAAATAGCAAGCAGCGTATTTTTGAGGTGGCAGAAATTAAAGCTAAAGTAAATTATGAAAAGAAGATTACATCTAATTTAAAACAGAATTGTAAATCTTTTTACTCGTATTTGCGTAATAAACGTCAAGTTAAGTCAAGTGTTGTTTCTTTAGATAGAGGAGATGGTACACGCACAGATAGTTCATCTGAGTCAGCTGAGGTACTTGCTAGTGTCTTTAGTTCTGTGTTTGTGCGTGAACCACCTGGCCCTCTTCCCCAAAATGAGAGTTATAACAAACAGGTTATTGATGATATGTAAATTAGCAGTTCTGATATCAAGAAGCAGCTTTTAAAGCTTAATGTTTTTAAGAGTTCTGGTCCGGATGGCGTTCATCCAAAGTTGTTGAAATCCTTAGCATACGATGAAAAGTTTGTTGAAGCTGTAACTAAATTATTTGTTAAGTGTTCAGAAACAGGAGTCCTGCCTGACATTTGGAAGACAGCATCTGTTGTAGCATTGTTCAAAAAGGGTGTTAAATCTGATCCCTTAAATTATAGACCTGTCTCATTAACTTGTATTTTGTGCAAAGTGTATGAAAAGTTGGTGAGGGCACATTTATTAACATTTTTAGAAGAACGAATTTCAAAGCATCAGCATGGATTTGTGAAGGGTAAATCTTGTCTATCTAATCTCTTAGAGACATTTGATAATATTCTTGATATATTTAGACGAAGGTGCTCCTGTCGATCTTTTGTATTTTGATTTTAGTAAAGCTTTTGACACAGTCCCCCACTTTAGACTTCTATCTAAATTGGAGGGGTTTGGGGTCAAGAGAAAAGTTTTAGATGTTATAAAAGACTTTCTGACAGACAGAACCATGAGGGTTTGTGTAGAAGGACAATGGTCTGAGGTGAAACACGTGTTATCTGGTGTTCCCCAGGGGTCAGTATTGGGTCCTTTGCTATTTATTCTTTATATAAACGATTTACCTGACAATGTTAAAAATAAGATTAAATTATTTGCAGATGATCTCAAGTTAGTTTGTAATGCAGCTAACCATAGAAGTGTATCTGATGATATTTTAGAACTCGAAATTTGGGAGAGTATTTGGCACTTAAACTTCAATCCTGCCAAGTGTAAAGTAGTCCATATTAATTTGAATAATAATCCTAACTCGAATTATATTGTAAATGGAGTAGAACTAGAAGTATCTGCACAGGAAAAAGATTTGGGGGTTATTACCTATAGCCCCAGTGGAATAAATTTTAAATATGACTAGGAATCCAGTTTGGGAAGAAAAAAAGGCTATATATTTTTCGGCCGCTCCGCGGCTATTATTATTACCCATAGCCCCAGTGGAATAAATTTTAAATATGACTAGGAATCCAGTTTGGGAAGAAAAAAGGCTATATATTTTTCGGCCGCTCCGCGGCCGACTGGTCACTCAAGCGATTGAGGATGCAAAATCAGTCATCGATAAACTCCTCTCGAGCTCCAGCGCAAAGGTTGTCATCTCCCTACCCACCCCAACCCCTGGATTAATCAGTGAACTTACCAACCAATTTGTCTCAGAAATAACACAATTTGTCTCAGCTAAAAGAGGGTTAAGTGACTTTTACCGCCGCCTATATACTGTAAACAATACTGGAAACTTTTCCCGTGCCATCTCTGCTGCTGAGTCATCCCAAGACTCTCCTAACCCGTTGAAGGAGGACCAACTCCATGTCTCAGAGTATGGTTTGAAAAAACTTTGTTTGAATATTAAACTTGGCCTATACCGTGCCTTTGGTATGAGATCCCCTAGAAAGCAGCCCCCTACAGAGCGTTAGAGTAACCCTAAAATTCAAGAAAAAACAAGTATCACGAGATCAAGTCGCTGTGATGTCCTGGAACATCCAGGACAGCACAGGAGACGGGTCTAACAAATTTGAAAATAGCGAATTTTTGTCAATCCTCAAACAAGCTAACATTCTTTGTCTCCAAGAAACAAAGAAGCAAGTTAAGTTTGAAGGATACCTCTCTTTTAATAGCAACCGCAAAAATTCACGCTCAGGAGGGGTCTGCATTCTTGCTGAAAATGGCCTAAGAAAAGGTGTCTCTAGTGTGCTTTGTAATGAATCTGATGACATTATTGTTGCTAAACTGGACAAGAACTTTTTTAAACTTGATTTTGACCTATTTTTGGTATGTTATTATATTAGCCCTGCATACTCGTCCTATGTCAAGAAGAATCCAGATTATACTGCTAATACCTTCTCTGCTCTTGACTCTATCTGTATCAGACTACGTCAAAAGGGAGAAGTTATTATGTGTGGCGATGCAAATGCAAGAACTGGAAAACTCCCAGACTATATCCTTTCCTGTAATGCACCTGCCATCCATGACATCTATAACGACATTGGACTCGAGCACGACATAGAAGAACCAAGAAATAATTCTGACCTTACAATATCTGAACCCCACTGCCAACACTTTCTTGACATGGTTATCAATAACCAACTCAAAATTCTTAATGGTCGTACCCTTGGGGACACCACTGGAAAAATGACCTGTCACAAATACAATGGAAGCAGTGTGGTTGACTATTTTGTAATCACCTCATGGGCAAGAGATCATGTAAACTCTCTCCAAGTAAAAGAGTTTACATCATACTCTGATCATTGTCCATTAGTCTTGAAACTCACTACATTTGAACCATTTGTCGCAAACTTCCAGCTCCCAGACTT